CCAGAAGGCGGGGATGACGAACGGCGTGACATGGTGAAGAGAGAGAGGATGCGGCGATGAGAGAGAAAGAAAGAGGAGAGAGAGACGACGGAGAGAGAGTACTACGGCGCCGGAAAAGAGAGAGAAGAGAGTTCTAGGGTTTCTCTGTTCTCTGGAAAGTTTAGAATGAAAAAAAAGAATGAAAATGGCTCTCTATTTATACTCAATGGGAGACTTGGGTAAAAAGTAAAGATAACCACGAAAAAGGAAAAGATAATTATGAATAAGAATATTCATAATTCATTTAGAAAAAAATTCATTAATATCACATTAAAAATATAATATTTATCTAAACCAAAAATTAATTATCTCTCGAAGGAAAAAACAAATATCGAAAAATAGGAAATGAGCTTAAACCGTCTTAGTTAGGATTGAATTTTCCAAACAGGCTTGATTTGTGAGAACCGGGTCGTTACAGCTCTAGTCCATGGTCTCTTCATTTCCAGGCTAGTTAGGCTCTTGGCTTGAATTATCGCCTAGTGAAATATTGAAACTATAAGAAACGGAGGGATTCATTGGCAATGAAAGATTGCTTCATGTCAAAGTCTCCCTTGAGCTTAACCGAAGGAAAACGTTTTGGGTTCGATTTGAAGTGAACATGAAATTGAAGAACAAATTAATTAAATATTAATATATTATTATTTATTTTTTTGGTCGAAAAATATTAATATATTATTATGTTAAGAGATTTGCACTTTGCGCGCAAGAGATTCCCAATACAAATGATTTTAAGAACCGGACAAACCAAGTCTCTGATTTGCATCACTTGCATTCAGTTTCCATTTATCTTACAAAATATAGGGGGGATTTTGTTGTTCTCTCTCGGTATGAAATTTCTAAATCATATTTCAGAACATTTTTTCGTAAAAATAAGTGACTTTTTAATGCAAAAAAAATAATAGAAAATGACTTTTAAATTTGGATAAGATCAGATCAGATCAAAACGATTATAACGTACATTATCATTGACTTTTAAATTTGGATGGAGAATCAATAATAATTGGTGAAAGTAAATGGGGTACGAATTTCCAAATTTAGAATTTTTCACTTTACTCTTAAACTTGTTCAGAGTCTTTTAAGACTACACAGTACACATTTCTCTGTTTTTCTAAAAAAAAAAAATCTCTAAAATATACACTATGATGCTAAAGAAACGACATATCCAATTGAAGCCATTTTCACAAGTGGAAATAACAAATCCAGCAGACGACGTTGTTTTGAATTTCACTCGCAAACCTTTATATATTTTTTTGGACTTCACTCGTAATCTTAAACTTCATGGACAGGAGAACGAGTGCGTGCAAGACAGATTTCTGGTGCTAGGAACTCGAATCAAAGTCTTTATTTATCAGATCAGAATGGTCTTACACTTACACGACACTACATCTTCATTTAATTTTCATAAAATACTCTTATATTAAAATATCGAGTACACATACATCTCATTATCGATAGTACCATGCACGAGTGATGAGCTTATTCCAACGTGATACTTATAATATCATAACGGGGTTTAACATATAAAAATCACGGTGCCGTCGGGAGAAACGGCATGGGAGGAAACCTAAAGCCAGGGAAACCAGGGAAACCGGGAAAGCCGGGCATACCGCCGGGAGAGCCAGGGAAACCGGGAAATCCAGGGATACGGGGAAAGCCAGGAAAACCGGGAAAGCCAGGCATACCGCCGGGAGAGCGAGGGAAACCGGGAAAGCCAGGAAAACCGGGAAATCCAGGCATACCGCCGGGAGAGCGAGGGAAACCGGGAAAGCCAGGCATACCGCCGGGAAATCCAGGAAAATGGGGAAAGCCAGGGAAACCGGGAAAGCCAGGCATACCGCCGGGAGAGCCAGGGAAACCGGGAAATCCAGGAAAATGGGGAAAGCCAGGGAAACCGGGAAAGCCAGGCATACCGCCGGGAGTACCAGGGAAACCGGGAATAGATCCCGGAGGTGATGACGGAACAACCGGTGATGGAGGAAGAAGTGGCGCTGATGGAGGAATACCATCAACAAGAGAGCCCGGTGGAACCATGTTTGTCATTTCATCGGCTGGCTTCTGATCTTTGAGAGAGAGAGCTGCGGTTGTTTCCGGCGTGAGGTGGAAGAGCAAGATTAGGGTAAGGGCTAAAGTGGTGGTGACTGAAGAAGCCATATTTGTGTACGTGCTTTTGTTTTTAATATGCTTTTGTCTGTTGCAATAGCAGATGTTTAGTGTGAGAGTATATATAGGCTATTTTATAAGAGAATCTGTATATATTTTCACCAACCATGTATCTGCATATTGTAGATTGCAGTAATTTTTAAGGAAACGTACACGCACCTGCGCAAACACAACTAACTGGTGCATTTGATTTAAAAGCTACAAAATTACAAATGCATGTGTATTGCATACTTTCCAGGAAAAATAAATAAAAATACGTGTGACATGAAGATTGGTTGAGTAAAAAGAGAAACAATATTACCATTGACTAATTAATTAAATAATAAATACTAAGGCATGCACATGAACATGTGTCTCTCTTGCAGCCTGGTTAAGGCTCATGAATACAGGCTGTATACATTTACCTCCTATATATTCTTAACATTCACATTCCACTTTCCTAACTATATCAAAACAGGCTGTATACATTAATTTACCTACTATTTTTTTCAGTGAGTTTCTTACAAAATTAAACACGGTCAGTTAAGCAACAAAAATTACTAAACAGAGTAATTATTCTTACCAAGCGATTCGTCAGATATGTTTGGTGTATACACGATATATGATTTCTAGTTTTAAGTTAAGTTTTACGTCATCTAGACTTATATTAGTATACATGTACATGTATATCATGAATTCTGTTATGGACATTTTCATCTTTCCCCACACACTTTGATAAAATACACTAAGATTAGAAAATGTGACATTTTGGAGAATTTTCTCCTGTTTTTAAAGTATGAAATGATGATATGTAAGGAAAATGGTTCGCGGAAATATGAATTTACAATACTAGAACATAGTTTATTTCCTGGATGGTTGGAAACTTGGTCTATTGGTGCCAATGATCAAGATTTGTGAATATCTATTTATGTTGTTTCACATTGTTAACGCCAACTTAATTGTTTGCTTAACTGGATCAACGTTCAACTTAATTGGATGCTCCTATTAATTGTATGGAGAGAACGTTCAAGATTTCAAGATGAACACATGATGATGATGTTTACGCATGTTCAAATAAATCACTTAATTCTTGTTGTAGGAATACAAGACGAACCTTTAAAATCAAAACTCCTCTAAATTATGATGGACATGGGAAAGAGATCGCGCACTTCAAAGGGTATAGAATTCCCTCAACAATGCACTCTTCTGGTAAAGTTGGAAGAGCTCTTTGTTCTGGATCAAGCATTTTACAAGACCAAAATGTCAAAATTTTCTATCATCACAACAATGAGATTTTTGTCATCATTAATTCCTTAATAGCTCTCTCGTTCAACATATTGTTGGTGTGTTAGTTGACAAGTTTTTGTGAGATTTCGACTCTCTTAATTACTTTATGACCTTTATTTGAAAATTGTCTCAGTTTTAACGTAACTTGGTCCATCAACTGTTTCATTTGTCCTTAGGCAATGTTATGTATCCTAATAATTGTATTGATAAAAAAAATATTGATATGTATATTTTAAAAGAATTGAAATTGTAAACCATATTTGGTGTTATTAGACCAATAATCTTAAAATCTATATTCAAATCTTGCACAATCATTCAATTTCGGGTTGGATTTAATGAATTTTAAAAGGTTTTTAAACTACAATACAAAAATTCAAATATTGAATTGACCTATTTTGGATTTATATGTATGATTTGGGCTCTCTTATTTTTAGCGTAATATTTGAAATAATATAGTGACCCGGTATAAATGCGATTAGGTTATATTACTAATGCTCGAACATGCGAAACTGCAAAATCTAGTTCAATAAAAAATCATGCGAAACTGCATAGGAAGGGCAAAAAAAAATGTGGTGAAAAGTTTCATATGAATGCGAAGGAAGATTGTGAAACACGGTAAAGATGATCAGCTTTTACGATTTATGAAGGGACCGTTTATTTTTTTGGCACCAATACAAATATATGTATATGTGTACCATCGATATTTATCTGGCAAATCTAAACATATGATAAGGTTTGTATATTCCATGAATAGATAATTAAAAACAAGAAAAAAGCATGGAAAAATTAATAAGTTTAAAGTACATCATTGTTATAATTTTTTCCTTATAGTTTAATAAGTTAAATTATATACTTTTTCTAATCTTTTCAAGCACTGCGAGTCCGAACATTCCCATTAAACTTGGTAAAATATGGTTTAGCTCTTAAAACTTTGTGAAAAAATTCACTAACAAAAAACCTTAATAATACTTGCTGTAGCAGAATAATTCTTCTAATTATTTTGGCCAACTACGAAGGAAAGATGCAACCATTTCTTTCTTCAAAGCTAATATATATCTTGTATCAATTTAAAGCTAATAATACATCTTGTATCACTTCACATTAGTGTTGTTAACCGTTGACATAGTGGTAATAATAAAACTAATTAACCCGAGCAACTTGACACAAAACAGCCCATCTCTTGTTTTTTTAATCCATCTTTGGCTAAGAGATCAGGGAAGAAAAAAGCTTGTGCATGACTGCATGTAGGCATCATGTACATATCTGCTATATAAATTTACGATGTGGTTTAGGTTTACAACTGTATTGTGCAATATAACTTCACTGGACCAAACATATAATTTCACAGGTCCAGGAAAGTTTCACTGATCCAAAAAAGGATAAAAAATATACAAAACTCGTTATTGCTTGACTGGACCAAATAAGGAAAAAAAAAATACAAAACATATTTGCTGAAACCATGACAAAACAATGATAACAACAACATCACTAAAATCAGACTCGTGAACCACACAAATAAATTAAAAATTTCCAAATCATTTCAACGACAGGTTCGGATACGCTGTGACGCGCTTAGACAAGAATACCGTACACCCATCCTTAGGCGATATCGTTGGGCAGTACACGATCTCATCGCAGCCGTCAGATGGAAGCCTCTTGAAATTCAGCAGCATCGAGAACATCGCGATGAATAGCACAAGTTGGTTCAGGGCGTAACGCTGACCCACGCACTGGTGCGGGCCCCATCCAAAGGCCAAAAAATTGCGTTTGAACACCTGTTCCTCTTTCCTGGTCTCGCTAAACCGATCCGGATCAAACCGGTCCGCTTCAGTGAACCCTTGAAACGAGGAGTCGAAAACCGAGGGAAATACGATTGTACCTTTTGGGACAGTGTAAGATTTCGTGAGAGGGAAATCTACAGCAGCGACATGTGGGACCATAGTCGCCGGAGGCCGGTATCTCACGACCTCACGCGCCACGGAGAGCGTGTACTTCATCTCCGCGAGCTGATCGACGGTGATCAACGCATTGGACTCAGGGGACCAAATCCTTCCGACTTCCTCCCTCACTCTGCTCAACACCTCCGGCTCCGAATCAAGCTGTGCCACCGCCCAGAGAAGCGATGACGTGGACGCGTCCTGCGCGGCGAATAGAAAATCGAAGAGGAAACCACCGATCTCTTCGTCTGTTGAATGCGGCGGCGCCGGATTACCGGATTCGATCTCCGCGACGATCGGCTGCATCCAGAAATCGATCAGACACGTCGGCTCTTCCCCTGCCGCCATCCTCGCTTTCGATTTTCCGGCGCAGACGGCGAGTATATTCGCCAGCCTCTTCACCGCCAGGCGAGCCTCGTGGAACGCAAACCCCGGGAGGTCGATAGGAAGCGTCATGGTTCCGACGTTGAAGATATTGTAATCCGTACGGAACCTGTTTCTTGCTTCCTTGTCAAGGTAAGGTCCGACGAAAACCGTCTGAGAAGTCTCTAGGTTGAGTTCACGGACGAGGGTTCTCAGCGACACCGGGCCGGTGAAATTTTCCTCCCAATGGCGTAAATGACGGAGGATATTTAATTGCATGAGAGCAGAGTAGGTGGAGAGTGCCTTGGGGGTGAAATTAGGGGCAATCTGACGGCGAACGGACTTGTGATCGTCGCCGAACATGTAGATGAAGTTGTGATCACCGAATAGCTTCTTCCCGAAGGGATGTCCGACGAAGTGGAAGGCATCAGGACGAACGTTGGAGAAGATTTGATGAGACAGCTCAGTGTCTCTGATGTAGACGATGAATTTCCCGACGAGGTAGTTAGCGGAGAGGCCAGGGAAGGTTCCGGCCGCTGCAGATTGCTTGTACCAGAAGGAAGTGGGGTCACGGACGACTGAGACGGCGTTTCCGATGATCGGAAGGACGAAGAGAGGGCCAGGGAGGTTACCTTTCTTGCGAATGTAAGAGAGTTGCTCGAGGAGAAGGAAGAGAAGTAATGCTGAGACTATTATGTATGGTACGAGAGAGGCAATTATTGAAACAGAGAGAACCATCCTTTTTTATTTTTGTGTGTTTTGTACAAACTGAAACTGACTGATTATTTTCGATGATAAGCCATAAGCCTCATGAGCTCAGTTATATATACACAAAATGAACAAAATATCTTCATTTTCAACCATTTTCGACCATGGACGCATGCAATTATATCGAAGGGCAACTTGATCGCGTTCGACAAACACGTGTGTGAGAACCACACACCACATCTACTTGTCTGTCTCTACTCTCTACCATTCATGACTTCTTAATATAATAAGGATGCGAGAGAAAGTGGGTATAAAGAAACTCATACCTTAGCTTTTATCTATATGCTGTATATTTTTAATTAATGGTGAGACTATCTGTGGACTGTGGTAATGGTACAAGAGAGGCAATTACATGAACTGAGAAAACCATCTTTCTTTTTTCTTTTGTTTTCTTGTTACCAAACTGAAAGTGACTCAACATTTTGATGAATTCAAGAGATCTCGATCGAAAGCTGAGTTATATATACAGAACATGTATAAAATATTTTGAATATTCGGATGAGATTCATAAATCATGAGCCTCGAAAGCTGAGTTACATAGACAACAAGTACAACATATTTTTAACTCTGTCTTCTTCTTTCGATTGTCAACCGCCGATGCATGCGATAGTGTTGAATACGTGATCGCGTTCTACCAACACGTGTGGGAGATACGCACCGTACTATCTCCACACCCCTCAGAACGTAAAAATATATTATTTATAGTTTTATATGCATTTTGCAATTTTTGTTTTATTTTTATCCGGGAAACACTCACTAACTTTACGCATCATAATATGAACTAGTATTATGACTCATCAAAGCTTAACGTCTCGAATAGTGGGAAGACAGAAATAAGATGATGTGTAATTAAAGTACCATTGTATATGAAGAACAATCAGAGTTGCATGCTTGTCCACTTTACTTCTTCATGGCTACTTTTATCAATGGCCATTTGAGACTAACCAGTTTTTGATGCTGGTTTGCTTGCCTTTTTTTTAAAAAAAATCATAATCACAAAATAAGAGTGCTACTATTTTTTCTTGCGCAATACTGCTTCTTATTATGTGAACTATTTATATTCAAGTAAAACTAAGTGGTGGTAGTCTAGTGTTTGCACTTGAGGCATTCCATAAGTCTGGATGTTCCCTGAGTTATCAAAAAAAAAATTATAAAAAAACCATTTATATTCAAGTACTGCTACAATGGAAAACATAAAATAGACTTAGGAAAGAAGTGATTGACAAATCCATTGGAAAAGACAAGGAAACATATCAAACGAAGCCGAGTAAACGGCGAGACAGGAAGTACGAGCCAACCAAATTATGCTGAAGGATTGAATTCATACATTTTATTTTCCATGTTTTTGTCAAGTATACATTTCATTTTCCATTTATGTTATTTCAATTTATTTGCGTTTTTATACTTATCAGTCAGATTTTAGCATGGTCTATCAATCAAAAAACTTTTAACCATGTTTTGACCCTAGAAAAAACATTTAACCATCTCAAACTGGTAAAATAGGAAGGAAAATAAACTTTTTTCTAAGATAAATCTGTAACTGACAAAAATGCCAAAAAAAAAAATGATTGTGCCTCTTACCCATGCAGAGGGCAATGGCTATAAACACTAATTGGATATATTAGACATTGATGCAGATGATTGAGTATCTTAAGTAAGTTGGCACGTGTGAACAAGTCTATGGGTTGAGAAGGCAAAGGGACTAAGGCTGATTAACCTGTTATAGCGCACATGGTTACAACTTTATAGCACAAATTGGTACATTTTCATAGAGGAAGGATATCGTCGATGACAAACGAAGAACAGATTTGGATTACGATTTATCATTTAATCAAGATTTAATGGTCGAAAACGCCTTTAGAAACAGAATTGGATTATGATTGTTCGAGAAGAAAATCAAGACAGGAACATTTATTTTTATACGTTTTCTTCATTTTTACTCGTTTGCTTCTTTTTTATTTTATTTTTAAAAAAATCTTCTAATTTTATACGTAATTCACCACATCTAAATTTTAACATATCGTTAGACAATGTTATTTTATCCTAATATTCCAATACTAGTATCGGTAAATTAAAAATAGGGATGGTAATAAAGGAATTTATTCACAAATATGTAGTTTTGTTTTGGCTAGAAGGTTTTTTTATTTAAAAAGCAAGAGAAACACAAAATGTTACAAAGTCTTAAAGGTCCATTGGGCTACCTCGCCCACCACACAATAAATAGAAGCAGGATAATCAAGTTTCTAGCCCAAAGGGTGAGATGATACCGACATACACAAAAATGTAGTTAAAAAAAAATTGAAATATTAAATTCTACAAATGTTTTCTACATGTACAATAACACTGAGGATGCATGTGTTTAATTCTTGTATGGTTTTGGCTTCCAGGGGTTGTACCACAGGGTGCTAATGTATTATGGTTTTGTTTTTAATTTTTGAAGAATATAGACTAAACTATGGAAGTTATAAAAAGCACATGAAACACGTTAACACTTCACTAAACAATTGGACAAGAATAAAAAACAGAACAGATTAATTAATCTGAAGACATGACCAAACAATGACATCTTCTACCAAATTTAAATAACACTCTAGGTCTAGGGGACTCTCACTTCGAGAGACCCATCACGAACAATGATAAAATCACACTTGGCTTTGACCACCAATAATTTTTATAAATAAATTCCAAATCAATTCAATAATCGGGATATGCTGCGACGCGCTTAGATAAGAGCACCGTGCACCCGTCCTTAGGCGATATCGTGGGGCAGTACACGATCTCATCGCGGCCGTCCGATGGAAGCCTCTTGAAATCCAACAGCGTTGAGAATATTGCGATGAAGAGTACGAGGTGGTTCAGCGCATAACGCTGACCAACGCACTGGTGCGGGCCCCATCCAAAAGCCAGGAAGTTGCGTTTAAACACCTGATCCTCTTTCCTGGTCTGGCTAAACCGATCCGGATCGAACCGGTTTGGTTCAGTAAACCCTTGAAAAGAGGAGTCGAAAACCGAGGGAAACACAATTGTACCTTTTGGGATAGTGTACGATTCCGTGAGAGGGAAATCTACAGCAGCGACGTGTGGGACCATTGTTGCCGGTGGCCGAAATCTCACGACCTCACGCGCCACGGAGAGCGTGTACTTCATCTCCGCAAGCTGGTCGACGGTGATCAGCGCGTCGGACTCAGGCGACCATATCCTCCCGACTTCCTCCCTCACCCTGCTCAGAACCTCCGGCTCCGAGTCAAGCAGCGTCACCGCCCAGAGAAGCGATGACGTGGACGCGTCCTGCGCGGCGAAGAGAAAATCGAAGAGGAAACCGCCGATCTCTTCGTCGCCGGAGTGCGGCGGCGGCGGATTACCGGATTCGATCTCCGCGACGATCGGCTGCATCCAGAAATCGATTAGACACGTCGGCTCTTCCCCTGCAGCCATCCTCGCTTTCGATTTTCCCGCGCAGACGGCGAGCGTTTTCGCCAGCCTCTTCACCGCCCGGCGAGCCTCGCCGAACGCGAACCCCGGGAGGTCGATCGGGAGCGCCATGGATCCGAGATTGAACAGATTGTAATCCGTACGGAATCCGTTTCTGGCTTCTTTGTCAAGGTACGGTCCCACGAAAACCGTCTGAGAAGTCTCGAGGTTGAGTTCACGGACGAGATGCCGCAGCGACACGGGACGAGATCCGCCGGAGAAAGTTTCCTCCCACTTCCGTAGATGACGGAGGATAACTAGTTGCTGGAGAGCAGTGTAGGTGGAGAGTGCTTTGGGGGTGAAATTAGGAGCAAGTTGACGGCGAACGGATTTATGATCTTCGCCGAACATGTAGATGAGGTTGTGATCACCGAAGAGCTTCTTGCCGAAAGGATGTCCGACGAGGTGGAAAGCGTCGGGACGAACGTTGGAGAAGATTTGATGTGAAAGCTCAGTGTCTCTGATGTAGACGATGAATTTCCCGATGAGATAGTTAGCGGAGAGGCCACCGGAGATTCCCGCAGCCGCGGATTGCTTGTCCCAGAAGGAAGTGGGATCACGGACGAGTGCAACGGCGTTGCCGATGACCGGAGGGACGAAGAGAGGGCCAGGGAGGTTACGTTTCTTGCGGAGGTAAGAGAGTTGCTCGAGGAGAAGGAAGAGAAGTAATGCTGAGGCTATGTATGGTGCGAGAGAGACAAATATCGAAACTGAGAAAACCATTTCTACTTGATATTTAAGCTTCTTCTCTTTGATAGGCTATGCTCTCTCTGTGTTTGTTTTTTTGTATATATAGAAATGGTTGATTCCTTTGGAGAAAGAGGGTTTTGCTTTGTCTTGCCTGGCTTTTTGTCTTTCTTGGTGTTCTTGTTTCTTTGGTGGGTTTTGCGGAATTTTCTAAGAGGTTTTGGGAAATTGAATTTAAGCTGTTTGCAATAGTATTGGGACAAGAAGACTTCAGAATGTCTTCTCTGCTCTGTTTTGTTTTTGTTCTTGTTTTTTTTAGTTCTTATCGAGAGTCGCAAGGGGGATGAAACGTATTGAATTGACTGCCTTTTGATTTGAACGTGATCTTGACGTTTCTGACATACCTCACTGTCGACAAAATAATTTTGAGAAATGTCTTGGTTTTGATGTATACTGGTGTTTTTCTCTCAAATACCGAACGAATGTTTATTTCAAAAGCTCTTTGACCTCTCAAAAGGCATTGTTTGGGCGCTAAATGAACATCCTGGTTTGCTCCATATTAAATTAGAGTAAATTATAACTTAAAGTCTAACGACTCTTTTTTTTTTTTTTTTTAAATGATTTCAGCCAAGAGAAGAGCACAAGCTGGATTTTGTTATAAAATACAAATTAAGTGCCGTAATAGATTCTGAAATGTTTGACAACATGATCTTGTGAACTGTTAAGCGTGGATCATGTGCAAAGTCATAATGAAAAACACCTGCATGTGCCCAGCTCAAATTTTAAGGTTATTGACATATCAAGTTACGTGCAGCACAATTCAAGTAAAAGTTATTTATTACAAATTTCCCCATGATTTATTGCTGTTCTAAAACAACCAAAGCGCTATAAATGTTGGTGGTAACTGGTAAGTAACAGTTATCTAATCATGGAAAAGTGGTTAAAGAAACACATCAAATTTTTATGACTGTTTACATGACAGTACAGTACCAAAGTTTCTTATAATCGTGGATAATGCTTTGATTACAAATACAATTAGTCATTTTTATTAAATTAATTTTAAAACGTTCAATTATTCTTTTGGACTAGTTGCCTCCAGGGTTGAAGACACTTGAAGTATATAAATCACATTGCAACTTTGTCAAAAAGGATTCATATTACGGTTTGTTAGGTATATTGTTTCCCTATCATGTATTCTTAATTTTTATCATATATATAATTATAGCATAAATGTATTTTTTATAAAATTTGAGGAAGAACAAAATATTATTTTTATATATTTTTTATTTATATTCATTCTTTTTATTTTCTTCTTTTCATTCTTTTCTTTTTCATCATATTCTTTTTTATTATTATTATTAGTTACTAGTTGAAGCCGTTGGTCACCAGTTGGTCATATGTTTTATTTTGATTCAAAAAAATTTGCATATTGATTTTTCTATTTTCTTCATTTTTTTAGAATAACCCTTTCAACTTTGAAGAATCAATTGGAAAGGTGAAGAAAATTTAAGCACAATAACTATATATATATATATATATACAATATCGTCATCTGTTTTTTTATATTATTATAAAATGTAGTAGTCAATTAACGTTATTAGCTCAATTAAGAGTTCAGGTTTGAAAAGAATTCTTTTTTTCCTTTTCTGATTCGACGACTTTCAAAGTTTCTAGACTATTTTCTTCATGAATAATATTGAGAATTGTTTAGATTATGGTGTGACATAAACGGAACTCCTTTCGCTATTCACGGATATATATATATAACTTTTTTTTTAACCTCCCAAAAAAGACTTTTATATACTTTTTTTTTTATAAAAGGACTTTTATATACTTGTGATTGCTTTGTTGTAAAATGGGTGATGAGTGAAACGGATCGCAATAAAAGCAGAAAGTTTTCAGAGTTCACGCTAAAGGACATCCTCCATCTGGCCATAACCACTTTTTATGTAGGAAACTACTATTACTAAATTTTCTTCTATTATTCGACCACCTCAGATAAAAACATTTCAGAGGACAAAAATTCAAACACATCAAACAATAAAAAGTTTTCAAAATATAACATGAATATTTGAAAAGTATCTTATATATGATCTAAAAGTCTCCAAGCTGATTAAGTGGTAGATACATGAGTAGGGTCAGTGAAGCAATCAACAAATTCATCACGCACAAAATGTTGTATTGTGGAAGAGAGCTAATGCAGCAGCTATTCATAAACTTCTTGTTAGGATAATTCGAGAGATAAATGCATAAAACAAGAGAGAATATATAACCAATGTCATCTTTGTCACCATGGTAAGCCATAATACACAATAAACATTCGTATGCTTACCTCCATAAGGACGTAAACGTCTCACATTCGATCAAGAATAATTGCATAAAATACTTTTTCATTTCTTGTAGCTTGAACCGATACACAACAATACAACATTGTCGTAAAAGTAATCTCCGTATAAATTCCAAGTCAGCCCAATACATTTTCTGAACATTCAAGGAAATCTAAACCGGAACAATCTAGATGAAAACAAATATTAGAAGAACCAAAACCGGAAACCCAAATCCAATTCTACTCGACCCAGAGAACCAAACCCTGACGTCATCAATCACAGGCCCACACAAGGAAACTTCTGTGCTTGATCGCCGGCAAACGCCATGACGGCTAAAGGTTCTTTGCACTTGTCGCCTGCGTGACCCAATGAGAAAGAAAGCTTGTACGGAACGTTAGCCTTTGTCTCGACCATTTGGGAGATTATGCCTTCTTTGCCCGATAGAAGCTCCATAGCTCGCTTTCCCTCAGGGACAGAGAAGTGGACTGAGTCAATAAACCGGACTGCCCGGTTCGATTCGACGGTCCATCCCGGAAGAGAAGATATATCTTCGTCAAGGTTTGTCGGAAGCAGAACACCTAGAGTCGTGTTCCTGAACATCCATAAACCTTTCTTCAAAATCTCCATTAATCACTGCACTGTCTGTGAACTGTTAAGCGTGGATCATGTGCAAAGTCATAATGAAAAACACCTGCATGTGCCCAGCTCAGATTTTAAGATCATTGACGTCTCAAGTTTTTTTTTTTACTTGAACAATACGTCTCAAGTTTTTTTTTTGCTTGAACAATACGTCTCAAGTTACACGCAGCGTAATTCAAGTAAAAATTATTGATTTCAACCAAATACATCGGATGCGCGACTGATGATGGATGATGAAATCATGTAGCTGTTGCTGTTCTAAAACACATCATATCGGATGCGACTGGTGATCTTATACTGATGACTCGCTCTCAAATGATTAAAGAAACACATCAACCTTTTATGATTGTTTAAATGATATTAAAGTTTAATTATTACGACCGTACCAAAGAAAGTTTAATAATTACGACCGTGTTTAATTATTACGATCATCATGGATGTTAACATATCAAAATCAAAGCACAGCATGTTGTTATTCAATCCATGATGGACATTACCAAACTCATTCATGATATTTCAATTTTTGGTGTTATTCAATTAACATTTTAAATACGTCATCAAATTTCAGTGTTATTAATTCAACCAATAATTTAAATACAATATCTGTTTACAATAAGACGTGTGTTATAATTATATACTGATGTACCTACAAAACGTCTTAAAAAGTTGTCGGAGTAAACATACGGTTAGAGGAGATTCTTTTTCTTGATATCCTCTCTTTGTTCGTTTATCTATACCGCAGAATCAACGTCGTTAACCATTTATTTAACGCATTTTCATTCTGTATACGTAACAACGTAGTTTCCGATAACGATTACAAAATCATATTTCTTTTATTAAAATAATTTCAAAACGTTCAGTTATTCTTTTGAATGGTTAGCTTTAGGGTGACGTATCTAAAGCACATTACAACTTTGTCAAAAAAGAATCATACTGCATATCGCATTAAACCAAACATTTGTGCATATTGATTTTTATATTTTCTACATTTTCTTTAGAATAATCTTTCAACTTTGAAGAATCACTTGGAAAGGTGCAGAAAAATCAGCAAAAAAAAAATAATTGTAAATTGGGACAGTTTCGTCATCTAATTCTTTATTATTATTATTATTATTATTGTTACCGTATATAATTAATTAACGTTGCTAGCTGAATCAAGAGTTCAGCTCTAAAAACGATGACTTTCAAAGTTTCTAGAATATATTTTATTCATGAATCTTGAGAATTGTTTAGAGAAGGGTGGTCAGAAAACGGAACTTGTTTTTGCTATTCACAGAACTTAACATGTCTTTTGATCCCCAATAAACATTTATATACTCGTAATTGTTTGGTTGTAAAATAGGTAATCAATGCAACGGGTTGCAATAGCAGCAGAAAGTTTTCAGTATTCACGGTACGTAAGGGATATCTTCCATCTGACCATAACCACTTTTTTTAATTAGAAAACTACTACTAAAATTCTCTAGCTTTTATCATTCAGCCACCTCAAATAAAAATGTTTTAGAAGACAAAAATTCAAACACATCAAGCAGTAAGAATTGAAACTATAATATGAAAGTTTGAAAAGTGTCTTGTGATCCAAAAGACTTCAAGCTGAACAAGTGGTAGATACATGAGTGAGTGATGTAAGACTCGGAATCCACCAAAGTCTATATACGGGTTGCTGATCAATTCCACGACCAATGGTTTATGTTTCTAACTTCCAAGGACTCTTCCTCGCATAAACAGTCAGTTGCAACACGAAAATATAAAAGTTTGATTCCACAAACACTTAGAAAATCGCAGGAACAAGTATTTAAAAGAGATACTTTTCAATAAACAATAAAATGGGTTTTTCTTAATAATTTCTTGGTTACTTTTACAATGGTTAGTGAGCTTTTCATAGCTCTTACAATATATGATTTTAATAAATACATTTAAAACAAAATATTTAAACTTAAATAAAAGAAATCAATTAAAATGGTAAAAAACTAGTTTTAAGAGATTTGTGATGTGAATGGGGATGGACCAAGTATTGGAGGTTGACCATGCCTTTATACTCTTTGAAGACCGAAATCTTATGGCTTAAAAATTAGCTTAGGAGGTGGGCGTTTTTCATGGGATGTTGGTTGACTAAGAAGAACAAATATGATAGAACTTTCCTGGAATAGAACCAACTTGACCCGTTTTGGAAGACTGGGCATAACTTGAGAACCCCGTGGCATAGTTTCTGATCTTGGGCTTGATGGAATCAGGAGAGACCGAGAAATAATCTCCAAGTGGTCACGGGTCAAGAAAGTGGCTGAGTTGGGTTGTGCAGCTCAATATCTGGCCTAGTCGCGAAGTTGACTCCGAAACAAATCCACCTACTTGTTGTAGGATCAATAACTTTCAAGTCTGAACCGGTATTAGTATGAATCCAATTGGAGAAGCTTCTCTGTTGTACTAAGAGTTTATAACACTCCGGTTTGTAGCTTAGTTTCTCTTGGTCTAGTCGGAATCCTCCATTGAATACGCATACATCCGATTCGGTTAAGCTCGAGATCACTGGTTTTGTAAGCTGAATAACTTCTTCATCAAAATCGTGATTTGGATGATTCAAATTCGTTATGAATCCTTGTTGAGCCAAACTTCTGGAACATGCCGATTTGTTGTTTAACTCCTTCTAATTGGATAGATATGCTTTATCAAAAGTACATGTGTCCTGATCGAACCCTTGACAGTTAGAGTGGCATGTTTGATGAAGCTCTGGTTCAACTACTTGTTTGATGACCACATCAGTAAGGAAATTTCGAGAGGCAAATGCCTGAAACAAATCGATTCAATAAGAACTACCCAAAATAGGAATATGTGTCTCAATAAAAAACCCCAAAACAAGTAGGAATTTTAACGTCAAACACCAACGAGCCTTAATCATCACAAAGGAAAACAAAACCAAAAGGAAAGTATATGCGTTGCATCAGGTAGAAGATGATTTGACCCCAAACCAATGTCATCTTTGTCACCATGGTAAGCCGTACACAATTACGGATTAGTAGTACCCCCTTAATTAAGGACTTAAGCGTCTCACATTCGACCAAGAATTGCATAGAAGACAAATTCTTTTCTCATTCCTCCTAGTAGCTTGAACCGATACACAACAATACAACATTTGAAGTAAAAATAATCTTTGTATAAATTCCAAGCCTGCCCAATACATTTTCTGAACATTCAGGGAATTCTAAACCGGAGCAATCTGGATGAAAACCAATGTTAAAAGAACGGAAACCGGAAACCCAAATCCAATTCTGCTCGGCCCAGAGAACCAAACCCTGACGTCATCAATCACAGGCCCACACAGGGAGCTCATATTGTCCGTCCTCGTATTGTAATAAACGCTGTAGAAGGCGATCCTCGTACGGTCTGCCTTCGCCGTGAAATTTAACTCCGATGATTGGAAGCTCGAGTTCGCTTCCGCCATATAATGAAAGTTCTGAGCTTGATCGTCGGCAAACGCCATGACGGCCAAAGGTTCTTTGCACTTGTCGCCTGCGTGACCTAATGAGAAAGAAAGCTTGTACGGAACGTTAGCCTTTGTCTCGACCATTTGGGAGATTATGCCTTCTTTGCCCGATAGAAGCTCCATAGTTCGCTTTCCCTCAGGGACAGAGAAGTGGTCTGAGTCAATAAACCGGACTGCCCGGTTCGATTCGACGGTCCATCCCGGAAGAGAAGATATTTCTTTGTCAAGGTTTGTCGGAAGCAGAACACCTAGAGTCGTGTTCCTGAACATCCATGGACCTTCTTCGAAATCTCCATTAATCACTGCATTGTCTGTTAAAGAAGTACACAACAATTAGTTCATTGGGGGTAAGCTGAAAGATTTATAAAGTTTGGTGTCGAATACAGAAAACCATAAATTAAAAGAGTTATTTTGGCAAAAAAAGAAGAAGAAGAAGAAGAAAACCTAACGTTACCTTTGGGTTTATCAGGAGTAAAGAGCTTCTTAACGGCGATGTCATCGATGATGGGCCCACAAGTAGGATCGTCCTCCATGCCAGGATTCCTAAACACTAACTGGACGCGTTCCACAACCGCTTCGAACGCCCACGCGTATGGGTCCCACCCCTGAACGCTGTAAACAGTTTGCAGGTCAATGTTTTGCGATGCGATCGGTTCATCGGAAGCCACCGAAACGTTCAGCGACTCGAACTGTGCGCACGTGCGGGCGGCACTGAAAGTGACGGAGTAGACTGAGCCTTTCTCCACCGTCATTTCTTGGCTGATCTCTGCATCGTTTCCTAATCTCACGGCGTGGCCATAACAGGCGGCACTGAAAGTGATAGAACTTTCCTGGAATAGAACCAACTTGACCCGTTTTGGAAGACTGGGCATAACTTGAGAACCCCGTGGCATAGTTTCTGATCTTGGGCTTGATGGAATCAGGAGAGACCGAGAAATAATCTCCAAGTGGTCACGGGTCAAGAAAGTGGCTGAGTTGGGTTGTGCAGCTCAATATCTGGCCTAGTCGCGAAGTTGACTCCGAAACAAATCCACCTACTTGTTGTAGGATCAATAACTTTCAAGTCTGAACCGGTATTAGTATGAATCCAATTGGAGAAGCTTCTCTGTTGTACCAAGAGTTTATAACAATCCGGTTTGTAGCTTAGTTCCTCTTGGTCTAGTCGGAATCCTCCATTGAATACGCATACATCCGATTCGGTTAAGCTCGAGATCACTGGTTTTGTAAGCTGAATAACTTCTTCATCAAAATCGTGATTTGGATGATTCAAATTCGTTATGAATCCTTGTTGAGTCAAACTTCTGGAACATGCCGATTTGTTGTTTAACTCCTTCTAATTGGATAGATATGCTTTATCAAAAGTACATGTGTCCTGATCGAACCCTTGATAGTTAGAGTGGCATATTTGATGAAGCTCTGGTTCAACTACTTGTTTGATGACCACATCAGTAAGGAAATTTCGAGAGGCAAATGTCTGAAACAAATCGATTCAATAAGAACTACCCAAAATAGGAATATGTGTCTCAATAAAAAACCCCAAAACAAGTAGGAATTTTAACGTCAAACACCAACGAGCCTTAATCATCACAAAGGAAAACAAAACCAAAAGGAAAGTATATGTGTTGCATCAGGTAGAAGATGATTTGACCCCAAACTAATGTCATCTTTGTCACCATGGTAAAGCGTACACAATTACGGGTTAGTAGTACCCCCTTAATTAAGGACTTAAGCGTCTCACATTCGACCAAGAATTGCATAGAAGACAAATTCTTTTCTCATTCCTCCTAGTAGCTTGAACCGATACACAACAATACAACATTTGAAGTAAAAATAATCTTTGTATAAATTCCAAGCCTGCCCAATACATTTTCTGAACATTCAGGGAATTTTAAACCGGAGCAATCTGGATGAAAACCAATGTTAAAAGAACGGAAACCGGAAACCCAAATCCAATTCTGCTCGACCCAGAGAACCAAACCTTGACGTCATCAATCACAGGCCCACACAGGGAGCTCATATCGTCCGTCCTCGTATTGTAATAAACGCTGTAGAAGGCGATCCTCGTACGGTCTGCCTTCGCCGTGAAATTCAACTCCGATGATTGGAAGCTCGAGTTCGCTTCCGCCATATAATGAAAGTTCTGAGCTTGATCGCCGGCAAACGCCATGACGACCAAAGGTTCTTTGCACTTGTCGCCTGCGTGACCTAATGAGAAAGAAAGCTTGTACGGAACGTTAGCCTTTGTCTCGACCATTTGGGAGATTATGCCTTCTTTGCCCGATAGAAGCTCCATAGCTCGCTTTCCCTCAGGGACAGAGAAGTGGTCTGAGTCAATAAACCGGACTGCCCGGTTCGATTCGACGGTCCATCCCGGAAGAGAAGATATTTCTTCGTCAAGGTTTGTCGGAAGCAGAACACCTAGAGTCGTGTTCCTGAACATCCATGGACCTTCTTCGAAATCTCCATTAATCACTGCATTGTCTGTTAAAGAAGTACACAACAATTAGTTCATTGGGGGTAAGCTGAAAGATTTATAAAGTTTGGTGTCAAATACAGAAAACCATAAATTAAAAGAGTTATTTTGGCAAAAAAAGAAGAAGAAGAAGAAGAAAACCTAACGTTACCTTTGGGTTTATCAGGAGTGAAGAGCTTCTTAACGGCGATGTCGTCGATGATGGGCCCACAAGTAGGATCGTCCTCCATGCCAGGATTCCTAAACACTAACCGGACGCGTTCCACAACCGCTTCGAACGCCCACGCGTATGGATCCCACCCCTGAACGCTGTAAACAGTTTGCAGGTCAATGTTTTGCGACGCGATCGGTTCATCGGAAACCACCGAAACGTTCAGCGACTCGAACTGTGCACACGTGCGGGCGGCACTGAAAGTGACGGAGTAGACTGAGCCTTTCTCCACCATCAGTTCTTGGCTGATCTCTGCATCGTTTCCTAATCTCACGGCGTGGCGGCCCTCAGGCACGATCAGGATCATCCCGCCTTGTTTTTGACCAGACTTAATCAGCTCCACCGTGCCGTCAGATCGCCAGCTCGGGATCTCGGAGGAGTCCTCGACAATGGCGTCATCAGGGAAGCCGTTGGACGGCGGGGTCTCGAAGTCGCCGTTAATAACCAAGCCTGGAATAAAGATTCCGGTATAACAGAAAATTTATTACTACTTCTCTGTTTCACTAGTCGTTTTAGTTCACAAGTAATGTTTTAAGTTTCTAACCATTGTTTTAAATTAAAAAAAAAAAATCTGCATACAAAAAAAGATATTCACTATATAACAAAAAGATATCCTACAAGTATAATTTATTAAGAGAAAAAGGGATAAGTACGGAATTTAAAAATGGTGTCAGAAAATATCATATGATGATGGAGACGCATAACAATCAGCTGGTCCCGTAATAACTAATAACATCCATATATTCATCTTTTATGTCCACTTTTGGGCCTTACATTCTTTCAAGAATTTGTAATCTAGACAAATTCTATCATCCGAAATAGATTCTCTCTCTCTCGCATTTCTCGTGTGTTCATCACACTTATCAGGATGCTTGTGTTATTATTTAACCGTAGACTAAAAAAAAAAAAAACAGAGGAAAGCTATAAAAAAAAAATGAATGGAGAAACAAAAAGGGAAAAGAAAGTAAAGAGAAGACACGAGAACTGAGCCATTTCATCTCTCGGGCCCGCGCATTTAACTTTGCTGAGAATCACACATTCGTATGAGTTATGTATATGTGGTCTTGTGTCTAGAGTTAAGAGTGCCCTTTCCCTTAGGGCAGGTAACTAAATAACTACAGCTTAATTAAGGGATTTAAACTCTAATTAATTTAATGTTTGTTGAAGATGCGACTCTAATTTACTAGTTTCTAAAGTAGTTTTGAGTGTTAGAGACTTGAATTGAAGACAGCGAGAGAGGAAGCGAGGATGGATTTTCTATTCTTTTACCCTAGATGAACCAAACGCTTTTGTTTTCTTTGTGATTGTGACTGCTTCGATTAAAATGAACAGATTTTTATCCCAAGATTAGTGAGCCTAACCAAAGTCTCAGTACTAAGCAACAGAGGGCGGAAAAGAATTTGTAAAACCCTAAGACCAAAATCACGTTTCCGAGTAAAGATTATAACTTTTAGTTTCTTATCCAGATCTGTAAGTAACCCATTTTAGAGAGAAGAATCAAGTACTACAGTTAGTACTCTGTTCTTGGAACAGAGAGAAAAAAAATCAATCTTGCTTCTTTCATCAAACCCATTAATACTACGATAAAAACCCACGCAGTCTAACCAGTAAACCGAACAAAATAGACTCAAGAAAACTGATGAGATTGTGTGAGTAAACAACAGCGTACCGTCTTCGACTGGCGAGGTTTTGCCGCCGGAGACGGAGAGAGCAAGCAGAAGCATTAGAATGAAAACCGATTTACAACCAGTTTTGTTGTAAAGCACCATCTCTCTCTCTGTGAACAGTCAAAGTGTTTCTGTGTGTTCTTTTTGGGGGAGTGTGAGCAAAAGCAGGGAAATGTAGTGTCCTTTTATCCTAAATCCCCCCCAGTTGTTCTTTTTGTTATATTCTTATTTATTCACATTCGGAATAATGATATACTCAAACACAATAACCAAATGAGTTTTTGAAGAATATGTTTAAAAATTTGATCGAGAAATGTATCCATGTTGGGACCCTCTTGACCACAAACCGCGTGGTGGTCGTAGTCATTGGTCTACACGACAGTGGCTCACTGTTACTGATGTTTCATTTATCATAAATGGACCAATAGCAACTTTTCTTTTCTTTTTTTCCGTAAAAAACGAAAACTGTGTAGACACAAAAAAAAGAACAAGTGGGGAGGCATTTCTGCAACATATATTAGAAAATTGAGGAAAAGGACATCTTTAAAATATCGAAGAAATGGGTTGTTTAGATTCGCAGACACTCGTCGATGTAATGGTGAATGAGTATTCCAAGAGGCAATCAAGACTTCCAACAAAAGCTCAAGTGCCAATAAGTTACAGTTATCACCAGATGTAACACTTGGAGTGTCTTACGATGTAGTCGTCGTCGTCATAAACTAAGAAACTTAGGCAGCTTAGATGCTGTACGCTTTCACTTGTAACCAGATTTTGTTTAACCATCCTAAATGGCACATAAGCATATAACATGGGGATAATTTTATACGAATCTATTTTGTTTTTGGTGTTTTAGTTAGCGAGTGTCCTGTTCTCTCCAGCAATTTTGACTTAACAAACGCAACAGCCTAAGCAAACTGAGTCAAGAGTTACAACCTAATTCTTCAACATGATACTGCCATGCTAATTGCACCTAAGGTTTTCACCTTTTACTTGACAATGCATCAGATTCCAGTCAATGACCCTATGATTTGGTTTTTAACGTACTTAATCCAACGAGAAATGCTATATACATCATCTTAATGAGAGATCATAAAAAGAGAGCAACACAAAGTATGATTTGCAATGGTGTTTATCTTATTCAAAGAGAATTGCTACAATAACTTCATAATCCTGAATAAGATTATAAAAAAAAAGCAGCACTTGTGTCAACCAAACTATGTAACTTCTGTGATGGATTACACCAACATACAAAACAGCTACTTGGGAGTAAAATTGCATTTACCACAAAAGTTAGTAGCTGCAAAAGTTGTTTGATTCCCTTGCCACCATTTCTTCAGAACATTCTTCCCTGAAGCAATACATTCATTCATCATCATCTTCATCACCATCTAAGTAACATAACACACAGAGAGCAACAAGGAGGATTCAATGATATATATACTGCACTTACTTGGATCGGTCGCTTGCTGCAGCCTACCAAGACGATTTCTTTATCCCCATCAACGCACCTTTAGATGCTAACCCACGGAAACAGATTCGAGACATCCGAAACAGCTCCGTCACGGAACGAGACCGGCCGGTGAACACACATCGGTTTCTTATTCGCGTGAAGGCACTGTTCCTCGGCAACTTCGACAGCTTGTAACGATTCTTCTCCCGCACTTCGCTGGGGAGATCTGGGTCTTTGCAAAACGCTTTGTAGAGCTTCCTTCTCAGCTCGAATCTAGCGGCGAGCAACCTGCGCCTGTGATCGGCACTGTTTCGTTTCACGCCTTGCTCCGTGCCGCTATGCTTCGATACCGATTTCATGAGTGTCGTCGAGATTTGCCTCGCTTGAATTTGACCAGCATTGCTCGGATGCTTCACCACAGATCGCCATAGAAGCCCCGACGCAGAAGAGAGATCGAAAGAATGCGACTGAGAGAGGGAACGTTGGCAGTAGGAAGATACGTTGATCAGGACTCCTCGGAGACTGGCCATTGATGATTCAGGAGATTGGCGTAACGCCGCCGCAGAATTGGATTAGGGCTTCTCTCTCTCTGTTTGTTCAGTCGGTTCAAAGCTACTTCTTCTCGCGAGTCGCGCGACAATGTTGTTGGGCCTGTTCAGTTTCCGCTGAGTTGGGCCTATTCTTCTGAATCGTAAGCCTTTCTTGTTTTATTATTGTTTGAACTTTGAAATAAACTCATTTTATGAATGTCATTCAGGTGATTGATATTCATAAATCATAATCAGATTGAACCATTTTGATTATTAGTAAGTATTAGGGTATTTCGTTTAGTTTGCAAATAGATGCTCCTTTGTGTCTCCCTAATGTTAAATGTATTTTGATGATCCTATACATTCGATTTTTCTTTTTTTCGTATAAAACTTGGATGTATTTTTTTTTTCCCAACAGTGTCATTGTTAATGTACCAAATGTTTTGATCATTTCTAGAAAACAACATGTTTCTTCGAATTATTGAAAATATAATAACTTCCGAATCATTTTATTTCGTTGTAACATGTCGATTGATTTGTCTAATTACGTGGAGTTGAGTTTTCGATTTGTCTTTTCTTGCTGTCTTCGATTTCTTGCTTGAGAGACTCCATTACTTTCTTGAACTCATCTAATGTGACTTCTTGAATCTCACATTCTTCTGAGCTTCCAGGCCATTGTAGACCAATCTGAATCTCCTTGAACCTGTTGAATGTCTCCTCGACTTGCTTCTCAAGATCCCCTCGAATGTAATGGATTATAGTCTGAGACAAACGAGATTTGACAATAAGCGAAAATAAAATTATAAGATTAGAATCTTAAGATGTAATTTAAGGATTATACTATGACACACCTGGTAAAGAGGACGTCTTGCATCTGTTATGACTTGATCCTCTAAACACTTACATTTTGAAGCCTCTTCGATGTTTCCCTATTTGAAAAAAAAAAAGTTATTATATATGAAAATATTGTTAAAACAAGAAATAATCATGTAAGTTATATTTAAATGAGAATTAGAGAGCAAACCAAGTAGATCAACATCTCCACAAGCAACATCTCAATCTCATAAGCCTCATGACCTTTTCCTTCTTCTCTTGCTTTCGCCAATGCTTTCTTTAATATCTCCACTCCTTTTGCTTCTTTCCCACTCATTTCCATCTTCACGATGTCTCTCTGCAATAAGGAGAATAAATAGGGTTCGAACTTCTAACGACTGAAATTTTGATTCTAAAGGGAGAAAAGAAATTTTTTATTGTATATGAAACAACCTGAAGCAACCCGAAATCCGGTTTTTCCTTGGAAAGCAATGATTCAAATTCGATCTCAGCATTTGCAAGGGAAGAAGTATCAACGCGATAGGAGTGCAAATCAAGCAACCTTTGCAATGCTAATTTTCCTCCTCGAATAGCACCCATTGAAACAGATCTTGAGAATGTTTTCTGGTCTCTTCCTCTTCTCTCTAAAGAAGCCTCCTTACTAATGTTTTTAACATTATTATCTCTTCTTTGTCCTACAACGCTTTTGCCGGTGATATTTTTGATATCTCGACCATTGTTATCGTCTTTCTTTCCCCATAAACGGCGATTTAAGTAGCTCCAACCGATATAGGCACCAGCAAGGACGAATACGGGTGCAACTGCTGCTCCATACTTTGTCTTCATGGTGAACTTGTTCTTGGACCGATCCACCATATACTTTAACTATGTATATTATTTGTTTGTCTGATTCTTTGTGTTTTGGAATGTCAAATATTAAAAGGGTTCTTTCTTGAAAGTGTATTTTATACACAAGGTAAATTGGATTGCAAATGGAATAGGAAAGCATTCAGGTTATTCTAATGTTATAGTCTTGCATCATAGGTAAAGAAATGATTATACTTGCTTGTTTAAGCAAAAATCTTTGATTCCTTTCTGTTAAGCCGAAGTTACTTGGGTCTGAAGCAAAAAATTGATGCTTTCCTTCACAAGCCCTAAAACTCTCAAACGTTCTATGCATGTAGACAAAACTAACACAACAAAAATTTAAGAACCAATCCCTAACACTACATCAACCAATGCAATAAACAAAAAAATATTTTCGTACTAAAAAAAATTGAGACAATGGCTTCTACATTTCTTCTAGGCCATACTCAGAAACTCACAATTCCTTTTTCTAATTTCACCTCCTCACATAAACCAACTCTTAGATCTCAAAACTCTTTTCTTGGTCTCCCCTCCAATGGCAGTCAAAGCGGCCGTTTGTTCATCAGATCACCAATCACGATGGCCAAATCAAACAGCAAAAGTGATTATCAAGATGATAAAAAGCTCTTAACGCCGTTAAAAATGGCGGCGGGAGCATCCCTTGCACTTGCTTGCGCCTTAAGTATCTTCGGCTTAAAGATAAATAATATGAGCTATACTGCCGTTGCAGCTGTGCATCCAAGCGCCGCCGACATGATCATATCCGGGAAGCCGACCGCAGCTGTATCAGCATCTTCCGGGATGTATCCTTTGCCGGCTAAGTACGCATTGCGATCTCTCTTTGAAGTGAGCTCAATGCTTGCTTCGGCTAAACCCATTCCTTCTCAAAGACAATTCAATCTTCACAAGCTCCCTTCTTTGCCTTCAAAGGAAGACATTGATTCCATCAAGGTACACTTTGCAAATATATAAACAGGTTTTCTTATTTTTGTGTTGAACGTGGGTTCTTGATCCTTTGGACTAGCTAGGAGTGTTGAACCAAAAACAAAAGAATTATCCGGTTTTATTTATTTGTCTTCTTACCGAACAAAAACATACAAATGAAAATATAACAATGGAAATATATAGTTTAAAGTATATGAAATCAATACTACATCTATATAAGCATAGAACTCGTCCAATTTCAGCGTGGTCTTTACCTTCATTTATTCTAAAAAATCAATTATGAAAAGGTATTGTAGTTTCTTACGAATTCGATGTGGTCAAATACTTTAATTACTGGTTGTCCTTTTTCTCAATTAAACCCTAATCCTACTTTATAATAGTAAGACGTTCAGAAAACTAAAAAGATAAATTATCTAAGAGAAAGGATTTAACACCATGATATTCTATATGTATTTGCCACCGAATCAATCAATTGTTTTTTTATCAAGAAGAAAACTTAATTACTAAGAGAAACAATCATATCAATCGTTAGATTGTAAATTTGTAATCATTTGAAAACAACAATACAAAAACTCATGTCCACCAGATCTTTTTTATGAATGATTTTAAATTGAGGAAATATAGATGGAAGCGGTAAGAAGGTTGAAGGAAGGAAAATGCGAGGAGGCGGTGCAGCTCCTTCGCGACGCAAACATGCGATACAAAAATGAGTCTGAGGCCGACTTCAACGTGCAGATGGCTCTTGTTGAAATATTAATATTGCTGGTGATTTTTTTTCATTATTTTTATTTTCTATTTCCATATAATGTTTTATGCATGCAGCAGCATTTCTTCAATTTAACTCGTTCTATGGATTCCCTTACATGTTTTAAACACTCTTGTCCGTGATTAACTAATGATTAGTTTTATTCCAGGAGCGGTATCAAGAAGCTGCTGAGTATAATTGTCTAAATGATGAAAATGTTCAGATCTCTGATGTTCGGATCCCTCTTTATAAGGTTCGTGATATATAAGACGATCTATACATATATATAATGTATCTGTTAAATTTATAGGGTTCTATAAATATCAAATCGCAGTGTTTAGTTGTTAATGGTGTTTCTTAAGTACAGGCAATTATATACACGATGCTAGACAAAGATACGGAAGCCAAGCAGTGTTGGAAAGAGTTCAGAAAATCTATTGGTGAGGGATTTGACCCATTCAGTTTCGAAGAGTGATGATTCCATTTTAATTGGAAAACAGTGATTAATACTTTTAATTAGATCGATATTAAAAAAAACTATTGTGGTCCCTAAAAACATGTTACGTAGCATCTAGTGGTGAATAAGTCTGAATGTTACAAAATAAATATTTCTTAATATATTAAGATAGCTGCTCAATGATGGGTACCATATATAGATTCTTATATTTTTCAACAAACTCTATTAAGCTGATTTGGTTCTATCTAAGCCACGGAAATATATACTTTTAAAAGTGTCACAATTAGACAGTACGTAGCACAAAAAGAAAAGGTAAGGTGTCACAAAGTTTGCGCTTGAATCGGTGACGATCCATGAAAATGGTGAGCCACTCAAATCATCACCTAGGACAATCTGGACGAAGTAATGTATATAGACACGATCACACGAAACTATTTGCTGTACTAAAGCCTCATAGTCATATAGATCCGTTGTATAAAGCGAGAAAGTTCTTGTCTGCGAAGATATATGCATTTCCGAGGTATTAAGTGTCTCACCGCTGAAAAATAGATTCTAGAATAAATATAAAGTATACGAAAATATTGAGAGTTGATATATATGGCTTCGCCCAATAATCCGACAGAAGTGTATTGTCTCCATATAAAAAGACAAAGCATGCTATTAATAGAAACACGCATTCGAACGTACAACGTAGACAACATCACAACCACGTGAACTGTAAATATTCAGTTTCCGACGACTCAGCGTGGTTTAATAGTCTCCGTTGATCATGACAATTGCACGTGTCAATAGGATAGATCAACCACTACCAGAAATATATATCAAAAACAAATCGTCGACCGAATCCCAACTAATTTTATAAAAATAACAACATTGGATATCACAAACTCTGAGTATATATAATTTACCTCAAATTCAAACAAAAGTCTTGACGTTATATATATCACCTCAAAAAGAATGGATAGATAACATGTAACTAGAGATTGAAACGTACATTATTCATATATATATTATCCCATAAACGAAACGTAGTACAAGATGCCAAAAAAGGAGATGAAATATTTGAAGAGTCTCATCACTCATGTATCAGACGTGCCCTACACCTCCACGCGTCAAATTAACATCACCTTTTGTTAGGAGATTATGTAATGTAGTTTTTTATCTTTTCAATTTAAACAAACTAATCTTAGATAAATGGATAGTGATTATTTATTTGTTTTTGTTTTTATACATTAGCATATTAAAGAATAATGATTATTCATAAATTTTAGATAATATTTATCTATATATTTTAGATAATATTTATTTATTTGTTTTGTTTTTATACATTAGCTTACTTCACTATAAAGTAAGGTTTTTTCTATAAATAAGTGACTTCATTCTTTGTAAAATCATAAGTTCAGAAAAAAAAAGAAATGAAATTTTTATGTTCATCTTTCTCTTTTTCTCGTTAAGATTCAAAAATATCTTAAACTCTTCTTTGCTTTTCATATAAAGTATTAATTTACAATATGTTATCAGCACGAGCATTTTTTGACTTGTCTATATACCAGAGAGGTAAGATTCATTTATATTCAATTTATTTTGAATATTATGATTTATGGAAGATAGGTCCTGCTGTAAAAACTCAAGTCCGACTTATAGAAGAACTAGGATTTGAGGGTTTAAGAAGAGATCTTTTATTAGAAGAAGTCGGAGCTTGATAGAATACAATGATGTTTAGGTCGTCGGAACAAGAACGCCAACCTAAACTCTTTAGCAAAGTAAATCGAAAGGCTAGAACAATCTGATTGCTTAGTTTGCTCTAGGTCTTGATCGATGATTTTCGGATAGATTGAGGAGTCGAGGACTTCCTGTATTTATAGCCGATCAGGTCGGTCTTCAACCTGTTCGAAATAGGAAACTCTTGTCGGCAAGAAGGAGTTTCCTTTTTTCCTGAGGCTTGATAAATGAGAGATTTCCTTTTATATCGCCGACCTGAAACTTGTTAGACGGGCCGACCAGAATTCATATCGGGCTTGTTAGAGACGGTACGGATCTTATCTCTAACACCTGCTTTCTCCGTTTATATGTTATGCCGGGATGGAAGGATCTGCCTCCTCCGAGCTGATCGTTATGGTAGGCGCTGCCTCTACGATCAAATAATTATATCATTTATTATGCCGAGATGGTAGGCTATGTCTCCTCCGAGCTGATGGTTATGGTAGGCACTGCCTCCACGGTCAAATAATTATATTATTTATTTATTATGCCTGGATGGTAAACTCTGTCTCCTCCGAGCTGATTGTTATGGCAAGCTTTGCCTCCACAATCAAAAATGATCACATGGCAAACTATACCGTCTCAGATCATATTTATTTATTTATTTATTGTGTGGGAGATTAAAATCCTCATCTTTGTTCATTTATATATTATGCAATCATCAATTGCATGGTAGGCTCTGCCTCTTCATATTGTTTTTAATTATAGTCTTTTATTATGATGTTACTATGCTCAAATTTTTAATCTAACGAATTAAGCCTTTGTTATTGAGTAATAATTTTTCAAAGCTCGAGATCGCCACTCTTGATTTGTGTGGAAAGAATTATATGTCTTGGGCGGTAGGTGCAAAGTTGCATCTAGAGAGAAATGATCTCTTGAGCACTATCGTTAAATCGGAAACAACATTCGATGAGATAAGGTGAAAGCCATGATCTTTTTACGCTACCATATCCATGATGGTTTAAATGATAAATTCATCACGAGTAAAGATTCTGAAGATCTTAGAAAATAAGTGGTTGAATCTCCAGGCGAGAGAATTCACCCAAAACTCGGAGTTGATATAAATCCTCCTGGTAGCTTAATAATATAATAAACTCGTGATGAGAAACCATCAGTTTTGTCCAACTAAATTAAATCTATTCCTAGGGGAGAATGTTAAGTAATCCACTTACAGTAAGTGTGATGGACAAATTTAATGGAAGAAAAGGATGATGGTTGGGACGTTGAAAGACAAAAGCTTAATGGTTTTGATGTACTATATGCTTTTGCTTTGAATGTTTTTGCTGTAGGTTCTATTGTATCATAAGCTGTATTGTCATGTATGTGTTTAATACTTATTAATGCATCTTTGATGAATATTTTAAATTAAAAAAATATCAGAATTTGAGACTATGGATGGAGATACTTGTCTAGCAGACAGTACTACGACACATACAATACTAAAAGATAAAAAGTATTTCTCCTGTCTCAAAATGAAAGTCTCCGCTGGAAGCGTGAGTACTATAACTAGTATTGCAAAGATTATACTAGGCTCCGGAAGAGCGAGTTTTTCATTGCCAAGGGGTACAAAATTTGTAGTTAAAGATGCATTATACTCCCCCGAGTCTCAACAGAACTTATTAAGTTTTCGAGATATCCGCAGAAATGGATATCATATTGAGACTATTAATAAGAATGGTTCTGAATATCTTTGCATTACAACGGAGAGTAAACATCAGTTGGAAGAGTTACCAATGATGTCCTCAGATTATATTGCACAAAGATAACCATGGTTGAATCACATGTTGCGGTAAACCAGAAGTTTACCAGCACCTTTAGAGTATGTCATGAAAGGTTAGGCCATCCTGGTTCAGCCAGAATGAGAAGGATTGTGCAAAATTCGAGTGGCCACCCATTGAAAAACGAGAAGATTTTTCAATCGGGAGAGTTTTTATGTAAGGCATGTTCTCAAGGAAAACTCATATATATGCCCTCCCCAGCCAAAGTTGGGAATGAATCCCCTGTATTCTTAGAGAGAATACATGGTGATATATGTGGGCTGATTAACCCACAGTGCGGGCCATTTAGATATTTCATGGTGTTGATTGACGCATCTAGTAGATGGTCACATATGTGTCTTTTGACCACAAGAAATATGGCTTTCGCAAGATTCATTGCCCAAATAATCAGGTTGAGAGCGTATTTCTCTGATTATGCCATAAAGAAAGTCAGGCTTGATAACGCTGGTGAATTCACTTCAGCGGTCTTTAATGACTATTATATGTCTTTGGGAATCGATGTTGAGCATCCGGTTATGTATGTTCATACACAAAATGGCATGGCTGAGTCATTGATTATGCGGTTGCAATTAATTGCAAGATCGTTAATCTTGAGAACAAAGCTTCCAATCATTGTATAGGGACATGCTATATTGCATGCTGGGGCATTTGTCCAGGTAAGACCAAGTGTGTATAATGAATATTCTCTCATACAGTTAACATTTGGCCAGAAGCCAGATGTATCCCATCTTCGTGTGTTTGGGTGTGCGGTGTATGTCCCTATATCGTCACCTCAAAGAACAAAAATGGGACCACAAAGAAGATTGGGAATATATATCGGGTATTCATCACCAAGTATAATTAGGTATCTTGAGCCGGTAACTGATGATATGTTCATGACACGGTTTGCTGATTGCCACTTTGATGAAAGTGAATTCCCTGCGTTAGGGGGAGGATTGAGAGAATCACCAGATGATATCACATGGTGTACAAAAACTTTGGCTTATCTTGAACCTCCTACAAACTAACGCGAGGTGGAAGTTCAGAAAATTATACTTATACAAAGATTGGCAAACCAGTTACCTGATGCATTCACTGATACAAGAAGGGTGACGAAGTCCTATATCCCTGCTGCTAATGCTCCATCAAAAATAAATGTTCCTGAAGAACATATTGATGTAAATGGAGCAAATGAACCGGTTCAGCTAAAGCGCGGGAAGCCAGTAGGATAAAAAGATAAAAATCCCCGAAAAGGAAAGAAATTGGAAGCAAAGGTTCTGGAAGAACCAAATAAAGCCAAATGTTCTGAAGATATTTGTGAAAAGGTTCCTGAAGAACCAAATGAAGGTATATGTCCGGAAGACATATCTGAACCAGTTCCTCAAGAACTAGGTAAAGAGGTTTGTCCTGAAGACGAATCTGAAGCAGAAAAATATGAGATTTCCATCTTCTTCGCCTAAAGTGGAAAATTATGGGCTAGAAGTGAAATAGAAGATAATGATGAAATGTTCTCTTTTTCTGTTTCCAAAGAGATTGATCATGAAAATGATGATCAAGATCCAAGTTCCATTTCAAAGTGTCAAACAAGGCCTGACTGGGATAAATGGCAAGTTGCCATGAGGGATGAGATATTCTCCCTTAATAAACAGAACGCATTCAGACCGCTAATTCTTACACCTGAAGATGTAATACCGGTCAGATACAAATGAGTCTTTGTAAGAAAGAGAAATGAGAAAATGAGGTCACAAGGTATAAACTCGCCTTGTGGCACAAGGATTTTCTCAAAGATCGGGAATAGATTATGAAGAGACATAGCCCCCCCCGGTCATGGATGCAATCACATTCAGGTACTTAATGAGCCTAGCAGCCTCTAATAATTTAGAGATATACTTGATGGATGTTGTGACTGCATACATATATGTTTCACTTGATAGTGACATATACATGAAAATCCCTGAAGGATTTTAGATCCCTCAAGGTTCAAAGATGCTTGAAGCATCTAAAGAGCTATGTTCGGTCAAACTACAAAGATCACTTTAAGGATTAAAGCAATTCGGACGCATGTGGTATAATCGCTTAAGTGAGTATTTGTTGAGTAAAGGTTATTGTCAACAATGCGATATGCCCTTGGATATTTATTAAGAAATCCGCATCAGGATTTGTGATCATCGCTGTACTTGTTGATTACTTGAACATGATTGGAACTCAAGGAGATTGATGATGCTAGAGCTCATATGAAAGATGAGTTTGAAATGAAAGATCTTGGAAAGACAAAATTTTGTTTAGGGCTCCAGATAGAGCATTTCCAAGATGGAATATTTGTGCATCAATCAAATTACACCAGAATGGTGTTGAAATGCTTTAGTATGGATAAAACGACTCCTTTGAGTACACCAATGGTCAATAGACCACTTGACGTTGACAAGGATCCATTTCGACCTTGTGAAGGTAAGGAAGAAATATTAAGTCATGAAGTGCCTTATATGAGCGCTATCGGTGCCCTTATGTATCTTATAAATTGTACTGGACCAGATATAGCCTTTGATACTAACTTACTTGCAAGGTATTGTTCATCACCGACGCGCCGACATTGGAATGGAATAAAGCATATATTCTGTTATCTTCAAAGTTTGATTGAATTTGGATTATATTATTCTAGAAACCTCAAGGTTGGTCTAGTTGGTTTTGCAGATGCAGGATATCTGTCTGATCTGCATAAAGATCGATCGCAAACTGGATATGTTTTCACATTTGGTGGAACTGCGATCTCTTGGCGATCTCAAAAGCAAACTTTGGTCGCCACTTCTTCAAACTATGCGGAGATTATTGCGCTTCATGAAGCATGCCGAGAATGTGTATGGCTTCGGTCGATAGCTCATCATATACAAGAAGAAAGTGGAATAATCACAGACAAAGAACCAACAAAAGTGTTTGAAGACAATGCTGCTTGTGTCACTCGAATTAAGGAATGTTATATCAAGAGCGATCGAACGAAGTATATCCCTCCAAGATTTTTCTCATATACTCAAGAGCTCGAGAAGAAAAAGGAAGTGGATATTTAGTTTGTTAGTTCAAGTGACAACGCAGCTGATATCTTCATAAAAGCGCTTCCTACTACAACATTCAAGAAACATATTCATAGTATTGGAATGCGGCATCTACAAGATTTGTGAAGAGAGGATGAGATCCATCTTTTCCAGGGGGAGTTTGCTATTTCTGTACTTTTTTTTCTTTCAGCATGGTTTTTATCCTATTGAGTTTTTCTATAGAAATGTTTTTAACGAGGCAGCATGCAACTTCACAGCGATGGATACTCATGCGTCATTTCGAGGGGGAGCGCTACTACAATCTTTTTCCTGTCATGGTATCCCAAACAGATTTTTCCATGATAAGGTTTTTAACGAGGCAATACGTAATACATCATTAGTGATGGTTAATCAAGGGGAAGTGTTAAATGGATAGTGATTATTCATTTGCTTTTGTCTTTATACATTAGCATATTAAAAGATAATGCTTATCCATAAGTTTTAGATAATACTTATCTATATGTTTTAGATAATACTTATCTATATGTTTTGTTTTTATACAATAGTTTACTTTACTATGAAGTAAAGTTTTTTCTATAAATAGGTTACTTCATTCTTTGTAAAATCATAAGTTTAGAAGAAGAAAAAAATGAATTTTTTTATGTTTATCTTTCTTCCTTTCTCTCTAAAGTTTAAAAAGAACTTAAACTTTTCTTTACTTTTCATATAAAATATTATTTTATAATTATTTTTAATATTGAGGATTCTCCTATTGTTTTTTTTTTGAATTATTCTCCAAACTTTATATTTAGTTTTTTTTTTCTCAGTCACCAATCATAACTTATATCCAACTTTTAATAGGCAGCGGCAGATCTATCGTAATAATTAAAATTAATCTAGGTTCCAAACTGAACGAACGCATTCTATGAATTTTAAATGAGTTTTAAGTAACATTCGATTGCCCAAACATATATAATAGAATTCCGAGTGGTAATCAAATCCAGAAGAGATCTACTTTATCACACCATGTGACCATGTTCCCACAAAATTCCGAATGAATTTTAAAACTTATATTATGATTTTTGCAAATGTTGCTAGTTTTTTTGTTACCAGAAAAAAATACGATAATATATCTATTTTTCTGAGGAACACATTTTATATGTTTTCTATTAAAACAAAGACTAAATACTAACCCAACTGAAAAATAGAAAAACCGTTATCGTTGATCAATAGCTTATTAATGTTTTTACGTAAGGTGTAATTTGTAAAGAAACTGATTATTTATGTAGATTAATGGTTGCAATTTTACTACAAATTTGCAAGTAGAATCGTTCGTCATGCGCTCGCATACATTAAAAATAAATGTGTCCTATTATGACGTACATGCCTACATGGTAATATTATTTATCATGAAATTTTATAAAACGTATAGAATCATGACATCGTCCGTCGTAGAGTCGTTTATAGTACTTTTAATTGCAACAAAAATTGAATACATTTGTCGTGAATGATAATGACATTTACGATAGAATGACAAAATTATACATATCTTCGAATGATGTAACAAACAAAAGAATACCCAACTAAAGCTATTAATTAATATTGTTATTTTGGATTACATAATTCTCAGTTTCCAATATTTCCAATAAAGAAGATGAAATATTTAAATATTTTAGTTTCCAATATTCTGTGCAGATTTTCATCTTCTTTTGTTTATTTTTTAGTGACATGGAAATTTTCAAAAAAAAAATAACTTAAAATATTTAATCTAAATGAATTATAAGATTTAAAATAAGATTCTACATAAATATTTATAAAATATTAACCCTTCATAAAAAACATTAATGTAGCATTAACCAAATCTAAATTTAATTTATGTAGCATTAACCAAATTTAAATCTATTGATGTATACCAAAAAATAAATTAAAATATTCAATCTAAATAAATTAAAAGATTTATGTAGCCCTCGTGGAATACCAAATGCAGATCTATCGTAATAATCAAATTAATCTAGGTTCCAAACTGAACCAAGTTTAAATTTAAATAGATATTCAAAAACAACATTAATGCTTTTAAAACCCTTTATTAAAAAAAAAAACATTCATGTTATTAAAAAGTTTGAATAGAAGCCCTCGTGGACACACACAAGCGACTATAAATTAACGCTAAGCAAACAGCCTTTTCAACATATTCATTCTCCTTCAAACTTCCTCACTTCCTTCCTCATCTTAAACAAAATCTTTCTTCTTGAGATCAAAGAGTAAACCATGGTAGTTGTGTTACAGCCAGTGACTCTTGAAAGCAACGTTCATCCTGTTAACCCAAAATGCAAACCGAGTCCGGTTTTAATCCCGGCTGTTGACTTAACCGACCCAGATGCCAAAACCCAAATCGTGAAGGCATGCGAGGAGTTTGGGTTCTTCAAAGTCGTCAACCATGGTGTCCGACCCGATCTTTTGACCCAGTTGGAGCAAGAAGCCAACAAGTTCTTTGCTTTGTCTCAGTCTCTCAAAGACAAGGCGGGTCCTGCCGACCCGTTTGGGTACGGTAATAAACGGATCGGACCTAATGGTGACGTTGGCTGGGTTGAGTATATTCTCCTCAATGTTAATCTTCTCCTTGCCTCCACCAAAACCGCCGCCGTTTTCCGGCAAACCCCTGCAATCTTCAGGTAAAACCATAACCGATTATCACAAAAGCTAAAAACGTTTTTTGAATATGAATATATCAGTTACACAAAACCCATGAAAAAAAATTTCGAATTTGATTCAGTGTTTTCCCTTTTTAACGGAGAGAAACAGAGGATGTTCTGTTTTTTATTTTCCGAGGAAAATGGCTTAAATCAATCAAGAATTTAGTAACTGAAGATTTCCTTGCGTTTTAGTATATTACAACCATTTCCCAAAAAATCCATGAAATCAATCCATGATTTCGATTCAGCGTTCTCATGTTCTATAACAGGGAAAGAAAAAAAAAACAGAGCTCCCCTGTTTCTTGTCTCCCAGATTCTTTAAATTTTAAAATGTAAAGCATTTGAACTGAAACAGAGAGGCGGTGGAAGAGTACATGGAGGAGATGAAGGGAATATCGAGCAAAGTTCTGGAGATGGTAGCGAAAGAGCTAATGATAGAGCCACAGGAGAAGCTGAGCGAATTGGTGAAGGTGAAGGAGAGCGATTCATGCCTGAGGATGAACCATTACCCGGAGAAGGATAAGACTCCGGCGAAGGAAGAGATTGGGTTCGGCGAGCACACGGATCCACAGTTATTATCAGTGCTCAGATCAAACGACACGGAGGGTTTACAAATCTGTTTGAAAGATGGGACTTGGGTCGCTGTTCCACCTGATCACTCCTCTTTCTTCGTTATTGTCGGAGATACTCTTCAGGTACCCTCTCTGTTGCAATTTTTTTTTTTTAATGCGATATTTATTTTTGTTTTCAACTTTTGCTAAATTGGTGAACTTCACACATTGGAAATTAAGGGGGGAAAAAATCTAAATAGTTATATCCGAATGTATACAAATCTTCTAATATATAAACTGATTTCAAAATATATTGACAAAATTAAGTTTATACAATCTTATTAGTGGGGGAAAAATCTTCAAAAAATCTAAACTAACGTATGGCTGAAACTTTCAAAATTAAGAAAATCCACCATATTCAGGTTTATTGCAATATTTTAAAAAAAGTAATAAAAATGAAATCATGCGTAAATTTATGATCGCATCATTTGTTTTAAGATTCTCTCGTTGGCTTTTTGTGTATATAATGAGATAAATCTATTAATAAATGAAAAAATCGTGTAAAGTAACGATCTGGTTTGGAATTCCATTTACATGTACAGTTTATGAAGAAAATCTATGTAGACTAGTAAAGACAGACGATACACTCACGTCACAAATACTAATGGCTTGTATCATGAATGATAAATATGATATGAATCTAATATTCATTTGTATTCTCCTCAACTTTTGAAACTAATAACACTATTTTATTGGTTGCACACAGAGAAATCACACATTTCACATACATTTTTTGGCGGTTATACTTATATATTGAGTAATGTAGGTGATGACGAACGGAAGATTCAAGAGTGTGAAACACAGAGTGCTCACAAATACAAAGAGGTCAAGATTATCGATGATCTACTTCGCAGGTCCTCCATTGACCGAGAAAATTGCACCATTGTCATGCCTTGTCCCAAATCAGGAGGATTGTCTTTATAAAGAGTTTACCTGGTCTCAATACAAGTCATCTGCTTACAAGACTAAGCTTGGTGACTATAGGCTTGGTCTCTTTGAAAAACAGCTTCCATTTTCTATATCAAATGTTTGAGCTATTATTTTTTATACCTTTTGGTTTTAATAAGTTCTTCTAGTTCCCATAAGTCTGAACAAGACAAACAAAATAGAAAAATAAATAAGTTTTTCGCTAATATTCTAATTTTATTTTTGTATTTTAGTCATCCTCTAAGTATTTTTCTTACTTTGTTTTTTCTTTCTTAATAAAATAATAAATAGTGTTTTATCCCCTTTTTTTCTTGTACAGTCTCCATCTTGTAATAAAAACACAATCCTCCTGAAAGAAATATTTCGTTATCTTTTATCAGATTTCTTTGTTTTCTTCTGTTGAGGCCCATATACACAGGCCTAATTAGACATCTTCCTGGGGTTATGGGTCGAAATCACATTGGATAGGCTTACAAAGACAAATATAATCATGAGGAATTTGAGATGATATTAAAAGATTGGTGTTGAACAAAAAAAAAAATTAAAAGATTGGTAAAATCTTGGAAAAATAAACTATTGGTAAATATCTGGATTTACGTTGTTGTTTTACACATCCGTATTAGTACCATTTTGTTCGTTAATGGCACCAAAATAAAAGAGAAAAAGACGCAGCACATCTTTAGTGTGCCCGCCGACAAAAACAAAACCAAGCATGTTAATTTTTGGGGTTTTGTTGTAATTTGAAAACAAAATGACAGCTTGTTACTTTTGTGCTTTTCGTAATTTGTTTTTTTTTTTTTTTTTTTTTTTTGCTGACTCTACCAGAATCATTCAAAGAAAATTCACACCAAAATTTTACTGAAATATATATAAACGAAATGCACCAGTAATCCTAAACGAAAATTAAGTTCTATATTTGTTAGATCATCTCTAATGCATTTCTTTATCTTTTCCTCTAAAATAGTGGATTTAAAACAGAGATACGTTAGAAATGCTCTTTGATGTGTACTGAAGTTGAAAAATGAAATCTCTTGGAATATTTTTTTTTTTTTTTGCATCTAGCGATGGACAGTGCTTGTTCTTTATATAAAAAAATCATAATTTAAAGAATTGGTTTTAATTGATAACCACTGTCCATCTGTGCATCACGTGCTTGTTTGTGTATATATGTTTGCGAGAGCTGTTGTTCAACTCTTGCGCCATCCATCGAGAGAAGAGAGAGAGAGATTTGTTCTTGTCTCTTTGCTTCTTCTCCCGTAGAGCTTGAGATCCATTAACGATGGCGACCGATGAGCCCTCTCTCACTCGCTGGAGTTTTCTGGTAAATCCGACTCTGTTTCTCACTCTCTCTCCTAACTAAGTTGCCTTACTTTTAGAGGAAAAAACAATCTCCAGGAAAAATGCAGCCACAAAGATCAATGGGTCTTTTTGAATATTGAGCAAAATCGAAGTCAAACTCTACAGTGTCCCTTAGACTTAATTGAAATTAAAAGGAAAAAAAAAACGATTTGTTGAATTACCGGAGAAACCGAGGAATTCGCTTTGACCTGCTTTCTTTAATTCTCGAATTTTAGATTTAGATTGAAAATGGTGAATCCAAAATGGACAACGATCCCGTTTGGATTTCTCTGAGATCAAAGCCATGAGCTTGGAGAATTGATCGATTTGTTCAAGAAAATCTATGGTATTTATTAGGAATTTAAAACGTTTTATGATGCCAAGTTTGGGAGGAAGAAGCTGCCTGAAGAAGATCCGGTGAATGGCCAACAAGAAGATGGATCGTCAAGCAACAAGGACGAAGCTTCCCCAGTCACCAATCCAGTTCAGGTCATTTTTTCTTTTTGCCTTCTTTTAAGTTCCTAGAATCTCTCAAGTGCTTAGAGCAGTAATGGCGCTGTGTTCTTTGTCCTGTAATGATTCAAAGTTTTGAGATTTGGTGATGATTGCAGGAGGTTAACACAGGCGTGGCCAATGGGATTCGCGAGAAGCCGTAAGATCTGTTGTTTCTTTCTGCTTTTTTAGTGTTGGATTTGAGGAATGGTTTAGCATAAGCACTAACTGTCTCTTAAATGTATCTTCTCCAGGAAAAAATCGATGTTTCCACCTTTTGAGTCTGCAGAAACTCGTACTCTCGCTGAGAGTTTGAGTAGGTAAGTCATTATTGTTGTTGCTACTGGATACATTTTGGCTCTTCATATCATGTTCTTGATTTTTTTTTTTTTTTTTTTATGGTTTCAGGGATATCATCCGTGGGAATCCAAATGTCAAGTGGGAAAGCATCAAGGGTTTAGAGAACGCCAAAAGGTTGCTCAAAGAAGCTGTGGTGATGCCTATCAAATACCCCTCGTATGTCCTTTCTTTGTTGCTGTCTAAGCCATACATGCTACTGTCGACAACTTCCAGTTTTATATGTTGGTGCTTGAATCACACAACTTTGTGGTTTCAGGTACTTTAATGGTCTACTATCTCCATGGAAAGGAATTCTTCTTTTTGGTCCACCTGGTACAGGAAAGGTACGATGATTCTATCTTGAATGTGCCATATACATCACCAAAACAATAAGATTCTTATTTGAATAAATTGGATTAAAAACGATTTATCTCCATAACAGTGATATTCCGTCTTGTGCAGACTATGCTTGCAAAGGCTGTTGCGACAGAGTGCAATACAACATTCTTCAACATCTCAGCCTCTTCTGTTGTTAGCAAATGGAGAGGTGAAACCCTTCTCTTCACCTTGATTTTCTCTGAAACACGAGAAAGTTGCAGTCTTTTGGAGTAGTAACATTTGGGCATTTCGATCTCGTGTTTCTGATGTTTTTTTCTTTCAGGTGATTCTGAGAAGCTGATAAGAGTGCTGTTCGATCTAGCTAGGCACCACGCACCTTCGACGATATTTCTTGATGAAATCGACGCCATCATAAGCCAGCGTGGTGGTGAAGGACGCAGTGAACATGAAGCAAGCAGGCGTCTCAAAACCGAGCTGCTCATTCAGGTAAAACAATGCTTAAGAAAGCCTTATCTGCCTCACAAAGATCTTCATCTCGCCGGACCATTAGTTACAAACAGATTGTTTTCGGGTTTGAAACTTGCAGATGGATGGGTTACAGAAAACGAATGAGCTCGTATTCGTTTTAGCAGCAACTAATCTCCCCTGGGAACTAGATGCTGCTATGCTCCGGCGTCTAGAGAAAAGAGTATCCTTTTTGTGGTTATTTTTTTTGTTCTTCTCTTATTGAACAAGAATGCTTCTTTTCTATGATCTCCCTTTGTTTTGGACTCAGCTAGTGAAACCTTTAGATTCTTGTACCTTTACCTGATCCGGAAGCAAGAAGAGGAATGTTCGAGATGCTCTTGCCTTCACAGCCAGGCGATGAGCCGTTGCCTCATGATGTGCTGGTTGAGAAATCCGAGGGTTACTCTGGTTCGGACATTCGGATACTTTGCAAGGAAGCTGCGATGCAACCATTGAGACGCACACTTGCTGTTTTGGAAGACACTGAAGAGATTGTGCCTGAAGACGGTAAAATATATCATTTTTCATCATTGGGCATAGAAAAACTGCAGAATCTTTGACATTTATCTGTTTTGTCCTCTTTTTGTTTTTGTGTTGCAGAGTTGCCAAAAGTGGGACCTATCCTACCAGAAGACATTGATAGAGCACTGAGCAATACTCGACCATCGGCTCATCTGCACGCCCATCTCTACGACAAGTTCAACGATGATTATGGCAGCCAAATCCTCAAGTAAATTCGGTGAAGCATATACATACATATATGTCATCTAGAAGAACTTATCATCATTATTTGTATGGAGAGGCTCTTGTTGGTTTTAAGTTAAAGAATAAAAAGACTCAAGGATCTTATATTACTCCCATATTTTTCAGAAATTTTCTTTTTACGTTTTGGCTTCTTGGCCTATTTCTTGAATGCTGGAATGTCGATGACGTGTGCAGTAGAAAAAGTAACGATTTAAGAAAAGGCGGTACAGTTAAAACAAAACTGTGTCGGTTGTAAGAACTACTACAAAAGAGGAAGAAGAAACAAAACAGTACCAAATTCTTGGTGAGTATATGTTTCTGTGATCTTACGTACTAGAAACAACAGCTTTCACTCGGTACTCTCTGGACCAGATTTTCCTTTTTTGGATCGTTTTCTTGTTCTCTTGTGTGTACCGCTTCCACCATCTTTCGTTTCCTGGAAAACCCAAAGCAAAATTCGAATTGTAAACATTGGAAAAGAACATTCCAGTGACACCATCGTTTACATTTAAAGCTGTCAAAATCTCAATCTAACCTTTTGTGCAGTTGATTTCGATTCAGCTTTGGATTTCGACTGAGCTCTCTCGTTATTGTTCACCTTCTTTTTCTTCATGCATGAAAGCGGGTTTGGACCCTGCAGAGTTTTGGAACAACAATGTTAGTTTCACTACTGCTACTTCATCTAAGAGACTTTAAGACACACAAGTCACAATGTGATAACAAGAGTGAGTGTGCATTACCTTTGCTCTATTCCTCTTGAATTGAGGTCTATCCTTCACACCGAGTCCATTTCTTGTATTATTCATTACCACTCGAGGCATTTCCCATTGTTCGTCATCAATAGCAACTCCATCTTTATTAGCTAAGATTCTTGCAGTCTGTCTCTCCAACATCCTTTTCTCTAAATCGGTCATACTCAACCTCTTTCTTTCAGAGCTTTTTGTGGTCTGGCGTTGGAAATCAGAAGGTTGCTCGATCAGCAGAGTCTTCCTTAGTCCATACAAAAGAGGAACGATAGACTCCTGAAAAGAAATATACAAAAAAACATATCATATTAGTAAAAAATAAAACCCTCACAGAAAATCCATCATCTTGCAAAAACAAAAAAAAACTCTCTGCCTCATGAAACTACACCTGTTGAAGCTTTTTCCTAAACTCGAAGTCCTGAGTACCGAGAAAGAAATGCTCTGTATTTTGTTTCCCAATTACATCTAACAAACACTGATCTGCTGCTTTTGCCTCCTCGTGTTCACATCTACAATATCAAAATTCATATTCATTATCCAAAATCCAAATGCCCTGTAACTTCATAAAAAATCCTCACTTTCTGCTCATCACAGAGGTTATATGGATCCAACCATTTCACAATCTTCCAATTAATCTAACACCAAATTCTATGAGACCAGCAAATTCATACACAATCCAGTTCGAAAAGTCTCAGGCTAAATCGATCCAACACATTCTTGGACATTGTAAAAGACAAATAAAATCATAATGATGAAAAGGGAAGCTTACGTCGCTGTACTAAGCGTCTGGGCAGCCTCAAGAGATTCCGAAAAATCTCTACCCAGTTTCTGCAGCTCCGCAAGTACACATCTACGAGCATCATAAGGATTCCGGTAAATTAATTTGAAGTCGTGAGTGAGAGACGATGCGAGTGAGGAAGGAGAATAATGGAGAACCTGGTGGTGAAGAGCTTCACGGGGCCTCCGAGGAGCTCGGAGATAGCAGTGTCGGCGGGAGTGATCTCATTAGCAATGAGATGGTGGATGAAGGTGCCGTCGCAAAGGACTTTGAAAGGCTGCCGGAAACCGAAACAGACCGTGAAGAATCTCACGGTTCTCCTGTTTTTCTTTTGCCTCTTCACTCTCATCTTCTCTCTGGACGGAAACTACGCACGGCGATTTTTAGAGGCGACGACGCTGTAATTAGGGTTTAAGGTTTTTTTTTTTTTGTTCGGTAGATGAAGAAGGCTCTGAGGTAAACGCCGATTTTGGGAGAGAGAACTTATTTGTTTGGTTCAGTTTACAAAATTCGGTTTTTTTGGTTCGGTTTCATATAGATTAGTTGACGGGTTTTGACATTAAAATCCCATTCTTATGATGGTTTTGGTTTTCATTCCAGTTCGGTTTGATGGACATTTAATTCAGCTTCAATAATTACTTTTAGAGAAAATTTTTGCTAAAATACAACCTTAAAAATGATTAAAGAAACTAATGTTTTATGATCTAAATAAAATTAGATTTGACCATACAAATTCTGTTTGGATTTCTTTAAAAAGAAAGAAACAACATATTTTTTTCATGAGAGAAAGAAATTATTGTTAAAAAGCTGTTAAGAGTTTTTCTTCACTGAGAAAGTGAGAACTGGTGTAGTTTTGCTTGATCTAAGAAGAGCAAGTTCTTTCTCACCATCTTCGTAAGATGTCTCATGCTCACTGTATTTAAAGCTACTCTTCATCGTCTTCTTCTTCTTCTTGGCATCTGCTTTATCTCAAGCCATTGTTATTAAGAATCCCAAACGTGTTTTAGATGTTTTTGCAATGGCACCTCTTTTCACGATGAATACAAAAGCATACCTTAGTTTGTGTTCCTCATATAATTCTTCTTCCCATCAATTTTCCCGTACGTTGAGCTAAGCTGAGAATCCCCAATGAAAATATATTTTATTTAACCACACAATGCTTACAAATCATTACTTAAACACAAGCCACAGATTCACATCCAAAGATGTTAGTTCATACTAACCTCCTTGATTTGATTTCTCAGGTTCTCGACTTGGAACCGGTTCTCTGATCTGAACCTCTCGACATTTTGGATGAACTCCTTCATCTCCGAGCATTTCAGCTTGTAATACTTCTCCCTCTCTTCATCTAACTCTTTCAGCTCCTGGATCTCGCTCTTCAGTGTCCTATCCTCCGATAGAATTCAACACAAAATCAATCAACGCATTGATTTGATATCATAATAACCATAAAGCAACCAAAGAATCAGAGAATAAACCAACCTCAGCTGCTGTATAGAGCAGTTGTATTTGGAGTCGAGATCTTCGATGCTTGATCTGAGAATCGTGATCTTGAGGTTTTGTGCAGCGATCTTTTGCTCGAGCATCAAACATTTGCGTTCTATGGACTGTATAGTTGCGTGCTTCGACGCTAAAATCTGCGATTTGTTCACTTGTAGCTCTTTCTCTGCCTATCTCAACCATTAGATCAAGAGCAGAGAAACCAAAAAGGAAGTGTGTTGCGTTTGGTTAGGTCGACAAATATGAATTCCACAAATTCGAAAACTGAAAAAGTATCGCAAAGAGATGCTTCTGTAGTTTCCCTTTTAACGAGATATCATGTTTTTGTTAAATATGATCTGACTGATTCCAAATTTCTGGGGAAATTTGGTCTACAGTTCATCATCAACGAGAGATCTCGATTAAAACGGACATGCAGCGATTCTCATACTCGAAGATTGTCTAAATCACTAGCGACAGTGAAACTCGATGATTCAATGGAAGGAAGAGAAGTTAGGATGCTAATTGATGGATTGTTGGTACCTGGAGAAGATGGAGCCGTTGGTTTCTGGTGAATTCCATTTGATCTAGTCTCTCCTTGAAAGCTGCAGAAAGCGCCATTGCTGCTAGAGAGAGCTAGAGAGAGAGAGAGAGATGAGAGAAATTGAATTTTGGAGATGGTAATACGGCGAGTCAAGTAGTAGACAAATATATGGGCAGGATGGGCACAATAATTAAAGTCCCATAATATTTACAGCCCAATACTTATTCTCTTATGCACGTTGATAAATAATAATTATCAACCAATTCGTAGTACCTAAGTTCTCAACCATGTAATAATTATTCACCATTTCAACAATCAATGGAGTTAGAATATGTCTTCGTTACTCAACTGATTTGTATCGTTCCAAGGCTCTTTGTCGATTACACTTAATTCAGGTTCCAGAGACACAATTCTTCCCACAAACAAGAACCTAGACTCAGCAAAAAGATCTTCATTGGTTTTTTCTCAACGGATATTTTGGTGAGGTTTTTTTTTGTGAGCTATAAGAAGAAGAAAGAAAACACAAAGCATTCAATGGAAAGAGCACAAATCAACTGAAATTGACAAACTTTTAGAAGAATCACAAACACAAGATCGTTTATTGGAGACGAGAGAGGTTTACACAAGGATGGGAATTCAGGTAAATACAGACAAAAAAGTCAGACGGACTTGATCGCGGTGGAGGGATCCGCATCGGAGGGATCGGAGATATCCGGAGGACGATTTTGGAGGAGAGGAACGCGATCGGCGGAGGAATCGTCGACGTCTTGGTCGTCGGGATCGTAATCGGGGTTGAGAGATCTGTCGATAGCTTCACGGCCTTTCTCCAAACAAGGCTTACAAGCCATCTCTATCGTTATCCATCCCAAGATTACTCCGGCTATTGCTATCAACGCGCTCGTTAACGCCGCCATTAGATCTCCCTCTCCCTCTCTCTCTCTCTCTCTCTCTCTCGTGGCTCAGACTCACAAAACTTGGGACTGTATCACCATTTGATTGACTCTCCCCTCAATTCAGGGAAGAAGTAGATTCAAAAATACCAATTATGCCCCTTTTGGGTATATTCTTTTTCGTCGGCAAGAATTATGAATAGGCTAAGTGATTAAGACATAAATCACCAAATTCAAAGAAATGTATATTTGTAAATTCGTTATTTGCAACTAATGTTCCATGACCCAAGTGAATAGGCTAGGTTCTTGGTTTGGATACTGATTGGATTCTGAAATAAAAGAAGTTAGTTATATGCATCTGATTTTCAAGTTGTCAATAAAAATTGTAAAAACCAAAAGACTTCACAGAGTTTCTCATTTCACAAGCATCTTCCATTCGAGACAAACAAAGGAATCAGTAACAAAACGTAAAAAGGGTAAAGTAAAAACACAGTCACCGTAAAAAGTAAAAATTACTGGCAAAGATGTTCGACGGCGGTAACGATCTGAGCTGGCTGAACAACCGTCCATTCCTCCAACGTACCGGCGTAAGGAGTTGGAACGTCCTGAGAAGACAAACACATCACCGGAGCATCCAAGTAATCATGAAAGTTCTCGTTTATGGCCGCCGTCAAGCTCGCTCCGATCCCTCCCGTTCTCATACATTCCTCCACAATCAAAACCCGGTGCGTCTTCTTCACCGAGTTTCCAATAGTGTGGAGATCGAACGGCTTCAACGACCTAATATCTATAACCTCTGGATCATACCCTTTGTTCACCAGCGTCTTTGCAGCCTGCATTACATGGTACCTGAGAAAAATGTATTTATTCGTGTATTAGTTTTTGATTTGTTTCAATTTCAGTGAAGCATAATAACTTTTGGTTGTGTGATTCAGTACCTCATCCTTGAATACGTGAGGATAGTGATGTGTTCACCGGGTCTAACCATTTCCGCTTCTTCTAGATTACAGATGTATTCTTCGTCAGGGATACTCTCCTTGAGGTTATAGAGCAGAACGTGTTCAAACAGAATCACAGGATTCTCGCTTCTGATCGCCGCCTTCATCAATCCTTTAGCGTTGTAAGGTGTTGAGCACGCCACCATCTGGATCCCAGGAATTGACTGGAAGTAAGACTCTAGCCGCTGCGAATGCTCGGCTCCGAGCTGCCGGCCCACACCGCCAGGCCCACGGATTACAACCGGGATAGTGAACTGGCCACCGGATGTGTAGTGGAGCATGCCACAGTTGTTGGAGATTTGGTTGAAGGCCAAGAGGAGAAACCCCATGTTCATGCCTTCGATGACTGGTCTTAGCCCTGTCATGGCGGCTCCAATGCCCATACCCGTGAATGCGTTCTCACAGATCGGAGTGTCGAGAACCCTGAGGTCGCCGAACTTATCAGCTAGGCCTTTGGTCACTTTGTAAGAGCCTCCGTAATGGCCTACGTCTTCACCCATGACACATACATGTGGATCTCTGTCCATCTCTTCTTCTAACCCTTCTTGAAGAGCCTCGAAAAGCAGTAGCTCATGTCTACACAAGATTTCAAGCGATTTCATAGATGTAATGCATTATAGAACAAACTTTTTTTAGTGCCAAACAAAGAGAGAACATTTACAACCTAATGATCCATGATTATGGTCGAGAGTCCCAAAATGCTAAATCGATTGCTTGAAACATAACCCCTTAGCATAAGTATTAAGAAACAATGGATGCAGAACATACCCAGATGTTGATGAGGTGGAGCTCGCAGCATTGTCCGTCTTCGTCTACAGATAAGAAAATAGAAATTCCCGTCAAAGATCCGTTTGCAGAATATTGAAAGAGAGACTCCAAAAAGAGAAACCCAGATTAAGAGCATACCGCAACAGCATTTGGTATCAACGGCTCAGAGCGACGAGTAATCAGCCCAGAACCAAAGCTCTTAGTCCCATCAGATCCGGAAACGTTATATCGCTTGCTCCTCACTGCATCAGAAACCCATACAACAACACTGCTAAGATCTTATAAAATTCGTCACGAAATTCTCTCTCCAACATGAAAAAATTAAGGAATTGAATCGACAAAAGTGAAATATACATGAAACCCAATGGCGGAGAATACAGATCGTCCTGCAAATTTTGAAATCGAGACTAGAAAGAGAGCGAACCTGATAGAGATGAGCGAGAAGGAGCTACGAGATTGTTGGAATCGATAGAATTGAACGGCGAGAGAGCCGTTGCAGCTCCAGCTCCAGCTCCTTGGAGTATCGCCGACATTTTCCGAGAAAATCAAAGAAAATAACACAGAGCTCCTGAGCACCGTCAATGAGAATAATTTTTTTTATACACAGAAGAAAAACGACGAAGTGGCGATAGAACAGAAGAGTGAAGAAGAGCGGAGAAATCGAAGAAAACAATAAAAAGGCGTGAAAGTGTCAAATCGTATGAAATACCAGTTTCTGGTTCAGTTCAAATTTTCCGGTTTAACATAATTTCTAATTTCACTTGGTTTGTTTGTAGATGAAACAAAAAGTTTCACCGTTGAGACTTGAGAATTGAGACCCTCTGAAACTGATAGTGTTCGGACATAAATTATGAATAAACTAATAATTACAACAATTTTGTTCCTTGTAAATTTAAACTAAGTAATTAAGACACAAATCACCAAATTCAAAGAAATGTAATTTTTTGTTCCTTGAGTCCCAAGAGTTTTGGAACTTTAGAAACAATCTCAGTGATCTCAGAGCTTGAAGCTCCTGGTGATCGCAGGGACTGAAGCTTCACTGGGACCAAGCGATTTCCTAGGATATCCTAAGAGCACTCGTGGATAATCCCTAATGATGGTGGAGATCTGAGATGGATTCTGCGAGTTCTGCGATTAAACCCAGTTAATCAACGAGGTAAAAAATTTTCAATGCAATACGATTACCGAAAGCAACACAGGAGAAGAAACACAAGGGTTTTAGATGATAAGATAAACCCTACTTACGATTCTCATGACCCCAAATATCACAACAGTGGGGCCTTATTTGGGCCTACGGATTTGGACTTTTGAAAAAAAATCGGCGGGAAGATCTTCAAGTGGTGAAAACGAACATACAGAGTCATGGACGGGCTATGTATCTAGAATCAAGAACAAGAAACCAAAACCTTTGACTAATATTGGCCTAGACCCTAAGATAAGAACTATTACTAAAAAAACTCAATTTTAACAAATCCCATGTACTACTCTATATATATACCACAAGAGAAATTCAGTTTTAACAAATAAAACAAAAAATAGAGTTACGAATCAACAATGAAGCTCCTTTGTTTAACTTTGCTTTTCTTCGTCTCTTCGTCTCTTGCCGCCGAACCATCCAACCCAACAATCTACCAAAACTTTCTCCAATGTTTCACAAACCAAACAAAATCCCCTTCTAACTCATTAACCGACGTCGTTTTACCGCAAACCGCAGCCGCTTTCACCCCAACCCTACGCGCTTACATCCGAAACGCGCGTTTCAACACCTCCGCGACTCCGAAACCCGCGATCGTAATCGCGGCGCGTTCCGAGGCCGACGTCCAAGCCACCGTCGTCTGCACCAAAACGCTGAACATCCAGCTGAAAACTCGAAGCGGCGGCCATGACTACGAAGGCGTTTCCTACATGTCCAACGTTCCTTTCTTCGTCCTCGACATGTCCAACCTTCGTAACATCACCGTCGAGGGCGAGTCCGCCTGGGTCGGAGCCGGCGCTACGCTCGGCGAGGTTTACTACAGGATCTGGGAGAAAACCAAAGCCCACGGTTTCCCCGCCGGAGTTTGTCCCACGGTCGGTGCCGGAGGCCACATTAGCGGCGGTGGTTACGGAAACATGATCAGAAAGTACGGACTCTCCGTTGATTACGTCACCGACGCCAAAATCGTAGACGTTAACGGACGTGTTCTCGACCGGAAAGGAATGGGAGAAGACCTGTTCTGGGCGATCAGAGGCGGAGGCGGAGCGAGCTTCGGCGTGATCTTATCATTCAAGATCACCCTCGTCCCCGTTCCTCCGACCGTCACCGTTTTCCGGGTGGAGAAAAACTTGGACAAGAATGCCATCGACATGGTCCACAAATGGCAGTTCGTTGCACCCAAGACCGATCCAGGTCTGTTCATGAGGCTGTTACTGCAGCCCGTGACCCGAAACAAGGTCCAGACGGTTCGAGCATCGGTGGTTGCTCTGTATCTTGGAAAGCAAAGCGACGTCATCTCTCTGCTAGCCAAAGATTTCCCTGAGCTAGGGTTGAAAAAGGAGAACTGCACGGAGCATGGATACAGTCGGTGCTGTGGTGGGCGAACAACGATAACGCCACACAGGTCAAACCCGAGATCCTACTGGACCGGAACCCGGATTCGGCGTCTTTCCTGAAACGGAAATCGGATTTCGTGGAGAAAGAGATCAACAAGTCAGGGTTAGATTTCTTGGTGAAGAAGATGATCGAGGTCGGGAAGATTGGTCTAGTGTTTAACCCGTACGGAGGGAAGATGAGCGAGATAGCTACAACGGAGACTCCGTTCCCGCACAGGAAGAAGCTTTACAAAGTCCAGCATTCGATGAACTGGAAAGATCCCGGAACGGAAGCCGAGAGCGGTTTCCTAGGGCAGACAAGAAGCTTCTACAGCTACATGGCTCCTTATGTGACCAAGAACCCTAGACACGCGTATATAAACTACAGGGATCTGGACATTGGGGTTAATAGCCATGGCCCAAACAGTTACAAAGAAGCAGAGGTTTACGGGAGGAAGTATTTCGGAGAGAATTTTGATCGGTTGGTTAAAGTGAAAACTGCCGTGGATCCCCAAAACTTCTTCAGAGACGAACAGAGTATACCTACCTCGTCTAGCAAGTAATCTACACATTTTAGTTTATATACTATAAAGTATAAAGCTTTATAGACCACCCACAATGTTTTTTTTTTGGTACTTCCAAAACTTGTAATATACGATATCCTATCTAAAAAAATGATGATGTTTCATTTTGGTAATTATACTATTGTGTGAATCTTTACTCTAACTCCGGTCAAAATCATACAAAATCTTTACCCTAAAACGGTACAACAGAAGAAGAAGGGGATGCTTCTCAAGATCTTTTGGGAGCATTTCAGGCAACTCAGAAAACTTTCCCGATGTTTATGTTGATCCTCCAAGTTTTGATGTCCATTTTCACGGGACAGTTCTGATTCAAGTGCCCCAGTATCCGCATTTTCTTCACCTGTGAAGATTACACCTGAAAAATCAAATGAATATTTTGTCTCACGGAACATACAGAGTCAAGGGCAAGAGATGTGCTATAAATGAAAACGCATCTGCATCTGCATAATCCAACATGATGAATCTAACCGGAAGCGTGTTCAAGAAGTTCCATAGACTTTTTTTAGTGCCAAACAAGAGAGAACATTTTCAACATGATGAGCGAGAAGGAGCTACGAGATTGTTGGATTCGATAAAATTAAACGGCGAGAGAGCCGTTGCAGCTCCAGCCCCATGGAGTATCGCAGACATTTTCCGAGAAAATCAATGAAAACGCCACAGAGCTCCTGAGCCTCGACAATAAGAAGAATTTTTTTATACACAGAAGAACAAACGAAGAGTGAAGTGCGGAGAAATCGTATTCCACATCTGAAATACCAGTTTCTGGTGTAGTTCAAAATTTCCGGTTTAACTTAATTTATAATTTCATTTGGTTTGATTGTAGACGAAACAAAAAGTTTCACCGTTGAGACCCTCTGAAAAATGGTAGACGCAATAGTATGGTGAAAATCGTGTTATTTTTCTGTTAATAAGGAAGGGTTAGGTTTCTTGGTGAAGAAGATTATGTGTAAGCGGTAATTTCATCTTATCTCAACTGAGATTACGGGTAAGTTTCCGACCTTAATATGTTAATTTTTCTTTTTTGATTTGGTTAAAAAAAAATTTACATATACATGACTCCAGCAGCTCCCAATATACTCGATATAGCCGGTAAATTATACACTATTAGGTTCGAAGTAAAGCCGAAAATTTGACTTTTGTATGTTAGTTTTTTATTAAAAGGTTTGTGAGATAGCATTGGTGAGAAACTTTAACATAAAATTTTAATTCAACCACGTTTAGATTACGTATGGCGCCATAGTTTGAGATCGTAATTATGATCTTCTTTTGAAAAACAAACATCGAAATTTGGCGTTTCCCACGTGGTTTAGACTTTTTTTTTGTCGGTATGTGGGCACATCTAATTACGTTTGGCCGAGTGACGTGCTTATATAAATAATCTAATTAAAATTAACACGTGATGACAATTATTTAGTTAAATGATGCAATGTGTCTACTAAGATAGTGAGTAGTGGCCAAACATGTAAAATTAATCACGTGTAATTTAATTATTTTATATTGGCTTTGCTTATACCTCTAACATATTCGTATGTGCAAGACTATTCACTGTCAAATCAAATCAATAGAAGGAAAAATTTTCCAAATACTTGAACTAGTTTACATGACTGTATACAGCCTACTTACCAAACTAGCTATAAGAAGTGTCTCTTGCAAGCGATCAAAGCATAGGGTGCAAAAAATCATTTTATGAAAGACTGAGTCAATGAATACAAAATGAGTCCAAGGCAAGCATCCAATTTTGTATTTCTTACATTCTTCTCCCAACGACACGTTATTGAATAATTTGTTGGTTTTGTAACTTACATAAAAATGGAAGGTTTGGTTTCACAAAATTAAAAAAAAAAAAAAAAGAATCGGATCTTAATAAGTTGTCGTTAGCATTAAGTTAACAAAGGAAAAAAAGAGAGAGAGAAGATTGCCGTTAAGAAAACAAATGAAAACAACACATACAGAAAACATTTTACACGTGCGGGTAAAGCGAGAGAGAGAGAGAAACAGAGATGTGAAGCTGAAAGCTGTGTTCTGTCCAAATTTCGCCGTTCTGTTTTCCGGCTTTTGTCTCGTCTTTTCATGATCTTTCTCTCTCTTCGACCGGGACACATACACAACACGCGACACACGCACAGACACACATTTATATATAAATCGTTTTACTAGCTCAATCATCATCATCATCATCATCATCATCAAAAACTTCCCACAAGCCTTCTTTACTCACAATTAAAAGATGGAGATGCACAGGAATTGCGACTTGGAACTTCGCCTTCTACCTCCTCCTTATGGTTCAAGCAGCTCTCAAATTCCACAACCAAAGCAAGAATCTCAGACATTAACCATTTTCTACAACGGGCACATATGTGTTTCTTCAGACCTTACCCACCTTCAGGTCTGTCTACATACATTTATTCATAGTATCTGATTATTAATTAATTTAATTATTGTTAACAATGTTTTTTTTTAAAAAAAATTATGCAGGCAAAAGCTATACTATCACTAGCGAGTAGAGATATGGAAGAGAGATCATTATTATCTAAAAGTTCAGATGCTTCGGATCCTCCGGTAATCCCAAACAATCTGACCAGGTTTCAACATCAAAAGGCCTCCATGAAGAGATCTCTTCGGAGTTTTCTTCAGAAACGAAATGTTCGGATTCAAACAGCTAGCCCTTATCATCGTTCCATGAAGAATTAGTACTTATTAGTTATTAATGTTTATAACGAGAAAACAAAAATTAGCTCAGTCTTTTTTTTTCTGTGACATTATCCAATTAAATGGACTGTTTATCAGTGTGTTACTGATGGATTATGTGGATCCTTGATTAGCATAAGAGTTTTAAAGTTTCAGTTTTACAGATGAACTTAATTGTCTAATATATAGTTATTATGCCAAATTTAAACCAACTAAAAGTAGGCATATTTTCCATTCGGAAGTATAAACTGAAAATAAGGATGTTCTAAGACAAGAAACAATTAAACAAAAACAAGAAAATGTTTGTTGGAACTTGTTTTGAAATTGCTAGTGAAACAAAGGTGAACTCGTAAGACGTTAAAATTGAAAGAAAACAATTAAAATGAAAACTCTTTTTTTCTACATTTTTAAAAAGAATTTAGTTGTGTGAATTTTTTTTTTTTTTTTTTTTTTTTAGTTGTGTGAATTAATATGACAAACTTCATAGATCCTTAATATAGGCTCAAACAATGAAACAACCCAAACCCCTCCCCCCCTCATTCTAGTTCTATGAGATATTTCTTCTAGCTTTGTTAAAATAAAAAAAAAAAGGTTGCACATGAAGCTAGCAAAAAAATCAGAAGTGTCTTTGTTTGTTGAAGAATGACAATCAAAAACTTGATCATGTAGCAAAGCAGACACGAGGCAGAAAAAGGAAAACAATATATAGTATGTTTGTCTTCTTTATGCGAAATTTCTCAACTCTTTATACGAGAGAGATGATGTGTTGGCCGATCCAGCTGAAGCTGGAAAAAGAATGATACATATATACTGCACGCTGCACCACATATGCATGCGCAAAATGTTCTTTACACTGGCTAATTGTGTTAAGAGTTTAGGGGATTAAAAGGGATGTTGATTCGACTCCCACCCTTCACTTATTTTTTATCTTCAAATTTCCTTTAATTTTAATTTGGGCCACACAAGCCTACAAGGCTACAACTTATAATTGTGTTTGGAAGTTATATAATTTTGGGGCCACTTCAAAATCAGGTCCTCACTGATCAATCTTCTATGGTATGTTCATTTCTAGATTTGCATATATTATTGTGTGGAATGTATACAATACGTCAATACCAGTCGGTGAGTGGTTTTTTTCCCCTATAAAATATAGAGAAAAGGAGCCGGAAGAACAGAAAACAACATGATGGTTCAAATGGAGAAATAATAATAAACGTGCAACAATAGTCGCCACACAAGTTAAGATAAGTTAGATAACACTTGTCTGATGAAATCTACTTTAGCCGCCAACGTGTGTGCTCACATGAACTTCACTATTGCCACGTTGTAACTTAACCAACAAGATAATGTATAGTTTTAGTCGATGGTAACACATGTATATAGTTTATATTACAATCTGTCTAGGTTTTCCGTTTCCATAATTCTTCTAGCATATATATATATATATATGCTGGCTTTACAATACAAAATGTTTTACACAACGTCAGAGTGAATAATTTATTTGTTGACAAAAAAAAGAAGAAGCGATTTGTCGATAAAGCAAGACGTGCGTGGAAAGATTAAAATATAAACTTACCTGAGTTTCTTTCGATTAAAAAAAACAACGGATAAAATTCAGATAAATCGTTTTTGATTGAATCTTCACATGTTATTTTATATTGGTAAATTTTGATTCATTAGGTAATGGAACGAAAAATAAAACTCACTTTTTTTAGATACGTGGAAGCAAAGAGATTATATATACGTTGTTTTATTTTACTTTGTTGTGCTGTCAAAACGAGTACATTTTTTCTTATATTGTACATCTCATAGGTACCTAATGTAATGTATAAAATATGAGAAAATTAAAATTTTACGGATTTGTGTTGTTGTCACATGATGACGTGTCGACGTTTTTGCAGTACCAAGCCTCTGTGCCTTGACTTACAATGTTTTTCCGATTTGCTTATATCATCAACCAAATATCGACAAAATTTTCAGTTTTGTATCTATCTTAATACACATATTAAATCTAATGTAACTTTGTCATTTTTCAAATAGAATCAAGGAATTAATGATTAAATAATTAATATCTGCAGAAGACGATTGGGCATTATTTCCACGTAATTCAAAGTTAAAACACCATGACACGACAAATCGCAAATCGTGGCAGGATCCACAAGCAAGATTTAGTTGTTGACAGGGCTAAAATAGGAAATCCATGAACTCAATAATTCATATTCATGTTCACAAATTCACAATATAAAGAGCTCCGATCATGAAGTTTATAAGATCAATCACACATTCACAATACAAGTCTACTCTAACTACACCCTGAAACTCAATGCCCAACTCATCACGAGCTATCTCTAAAGATGACAGAAATGCCCTCGTATGTTGTTGAAAACCCTAGTTTCGAGCCAAACAAGCCCCCAAAAAAGTACAGCACATACACTTCGTTGCTCCCGATCCTCTTATCGATCCTCACCTACATTTTGTTCTTCAACGTCCTTAACCTCTCTCCTTCGTCGATCTTCAACGACACAAAGATCTTGTTCTTCATCTCCAACGCACTTATCCTCATCATCGCCGCAGATTACGGTGCATTCGCTGAGAAAGAGAACCACGACTTTTACGGAGAATACACGGCCGTGATGAGAAGCGACGCGAGAGAGAACCCTAGACCAGAAAACTCGGGATATGAGGTGAGTTTGGCGGAAGAAATCAAGAAACGTGAGAAACAAGAAGCAATCAGAGCTATACCACGACCAAGGTATATGCTTCACCAGGAAGCGGAAGTTCCTAAGAAAACCGTACAAGTCGTAAGCGAGAACCAACCGAGAAACAGGCCTATCGAAAAATACGAGCCAACGACTGATCCAGACATTCATATAGCTGCTAGTAAAGGAGAAACTTGCCGCTCAAGCAATCCGGTGAGCCCTAAACCGTACGGGAGAAGCAAATCGGATAAAGCACGCTCAGAACGTCGTCGTCAAGATATCAAACATAGACCTAACAGCTACGATCGAAGCCAATCGGAAAGCTCGAACTGGATGGTTGTTCACAAGGGGAAGAAGGCGGAGGAGAAGTGGGAGAATGTTAGAGAAGAATCGGAAGAATTCGCGAGAATGTCGAACGAGGAGTTGAACAGACGAGTCGAAGACTTCATCCAACGGTTCAATAGAGATATCAAACGACAAAGTAGTTTGATTTAATTTGTCGTAGTACCAGTACGGCAAATTTAGGCAACCTTTTTGTGTCATTGTCTTCTTCATTTTTTATGTCGTAGTACCATCTTCTTTATTATGTTGATATGTTGCCTTCTAATGCATTTGTCGTTAGAGTTGGTAATTAGTGAGATCATGAAGATAGTCGTTAATTATTTAAATTTCAATGGCTGAATAAATTGTTGCCGACTGGTATAATAAAGTACATGGTAAGTGAAATATTGTGTATGTGGGAGTAAGACCTTTTCATTTTTAACCTTATCAAAGTGAAGAGATGGTCAAACCCCTCACGCCAGAGGAACACAACAAAGGAGGAGAACCACTTCCACTTGTCTAGTTCCACGATATAAAATATCGTTTAATTCTCCTTTTTGGTATGTTAAGAATGCATTAAATATAAGAAAAAAAAACATAAAGAATATATGTACATTGAAGATTTGTTTAAATTTCGTCATAGAATATATGTACACTTCGATTCACATATGAAAACATTAAACCACAACGTCTTCTATCATTTTGTATTTCATAGATACTCTATGTACTTGAAGATTTTATAAGTTTAATACATTCTACATGTTTCGATATAAAAGTAAGGGTGGGCACAAAAACCATAACCGAAAAAACCAAATCATACCGAACCGAAAAAGTGATATGATTTGATTATGGTTAAATCTAAAAATCAATTTGACTATTATTTTTTGTAGCTTTGGTTTAGGTTTAGGTTTGATTAAAAACCGTTAAACCGAAAAACTTTTCGGTTTTTAAACTAAATTTTAAATAATTTATATTTTTCTAGTTTCTTAATTTAGTTTAAGTACATATTTTATTATTGGGCTTAGTTATCTTTATAATTTACTAACTTAACTCATAAAATTAAAATATAATATTTATAAAAATATCTACATATAAATAATAAAGTAAACCTTAATTTTACAATAAATAAAAACATGACTAACTCTTTTTTCTTCACATTCAAGTCTTTTAATTCTAGTTCCAAGCTTATATGTATTAAATTTTAATAAAGCTTTGCATATTGTTTTATAACTATTGATTATGAAAGATTTGATAATTTGTTTGTTTCTCTGCTTTGAAATCTATTTTTATTGATGGATTTTTTTTATGATTAAATTTCTATTTTTTGAACTTATTGTTTTATTTCATTCAAATCTATTATTATTATTTTCATTAGAATTAACCAAAAATTTTCGTAATAGTATAATTCTGAAAAAACCAAATCTAAACTATACCAAACCGAATTATAAAAAACCAAATCATATCGAACCAAAATATATATGATTGGAATTTTCGTAAAACTGATAAACTGTAAAACCGAAGAAACCGAACCAAAACAAAATCGAAAACCTAAGTGCCCACCCCTAGTAACAAAAGGTTAACATAATTTATGGTTACTATCTATTTCTAGTGTTGAAAAAGTTTCAAAAAGATTTTCTGAAACCAAAATCCTATCTTGTATGTCTGAAAATACTATTCTCTTACCAAACACATGATCACAGGTAAAATGTCGTTTAATTCTCCTTTTTTCAATATGTTAAAAGATGCATTAAATATATTTATTTATTTTAAAACAAGGTATGTTGAAGATTTTTTAAAAATTCGGCATAGAACTTGTTCTTTTTTTCGTCTGTATGTTTTCTTTTTCCTTTTTATGTGAAAATTATAAATATATTAAAAAATTCTCGTTGTTGACTCACTGTAGATAAGATGTTTGTTCGATTAATCTGATGTGTAAACTTTTTTTTTTTTTTGTCCATCATTATCTTGTATTATACTATTGTTGGGATCATTACTCTGTTTCAATCTGCCCATTACCTGAAATTCTACTCTTCAATTGCCTTTGACATGATCATATACTCTATGTACTTGCGATGCAGTATGTGAACCCTATCACAAAGCTGTGCATTGTAAGATCATCAAGAGAAGATCACAGACAAGTTTGGTCGGCGATGACGTTGGTCAGAAGCATCGGAAACTGTCCAGTGATCTTAAACTTGCTCGATATCAGTGTCTGCACTATGGATTGAAAAGAGCCAGCCTTGAAATGCGTTTGAGCAGCGCAAACTCAGTTCTGAGAAAGAGATTCCTGAGATGAACAACTTATCGAACGAACTATTGAAACACTGGAGATGAACAATGTAATCTCAAATGAGCCAATCAACGTTCAAGAGGAGTGCCACGTGTTAGGATGTCTTTTTGGTTTATCCAAACTATAAAAGAAAATGACACACTTTTTTGCAATCTAATCTCACCAATCACGACACAAAACAGTGCCACGTGGTAATAACCCACCTCACCTCCTTCTTCTTTTTCTTCTTCTTTAACTAAGGCCACATCATCTCTCTTCCTGTCTCTCTACTCAATTCCACCATGTCTGCAGCACTGAGCTCGTCTCTCTACATTTCCCCAAAGAAACCTTCATGTCCACAACAATCTCATTCCACGATCTTATCCACGAAACCCTCAACCATCAAAACTCTCCATAGCCACCCTCTCTTCTCAGTAACCGATCAGGCCGTAACCCTCCAGATGAAAGAGAAGATCCTCTGTCTCGAGCTCATGGGAATAGATTCAGGCAAAGCCCTCTCTCTCAACCCTTTTCTCCGCTCAGCCTCCCTTAACTCCATCGAATCCGTTCTCCATTTCTTACAATCGAAAGGAATCTACCCAAATGACCTCCCAAGGATCTTGGGGATGTGTCCTAAGATCCTCACTTCCGACATCAGAACAGAACTCAGCCCTGTTTTCATGTTCTTGTCGAATGATCTCTACGTCCCTGAGAATGGGTTCAGAAAAGTCATCAAGAAATGCCCAAGGCTCCTGATTAGCAGCGTAGAAGATCAGCTCAAGCCTGCTCTTTTCTACTTGCAGAGACTTGGATTCAAGGATCTTGATGCCCTTGCTTACCAAGATCCTGTCTTGTTGGTGTCTAGTGTTGAACACACTCTCATCCCAAAGCTTAGGTAAAATTTCAGTCCTTTTCCTTGATGTTTCTTGAGCAATGAGAAAAGGACCGGTGATTAGACTAGAGAATCTATAATTGGATGATTAAGACTTAAACATTGTGTTTTTTTTGTCAGATTCTTGGAGAGTATAGGGTTCTCGAGATCAGAGGCGATAGGAATGATCCTAAGATGTCCGGCACTATTCACATTCAGCATAGAGAACAACTTTAAACCGAAACTCGATTACTTCATGAGTGAGATCAAAGGAAAACTGGAGAATCTAAAGGAGTTTCCGCAGTATTTTGCATTCAGTCTAGAGAAAAGGATAAAGCCGAGACACTTGGAATCGGTGGAGAGAGGTTTAGAGTTGCCATTGTCGTTGATGCTTAAGAGCACTGATGAAGAGTTCGAGCAATTGCTCCTGCTCACAAAGCCTTCTTCAATGGTAAATGTGTAATATTATTATCATTGTATATGGTGCGGAATGTTACTGTGTTATATATATTTAACATTGTCCCATGTAAAGAACTGCTCAATATATGCTTGACCGGTACCTCCTTACCGCAACGAGAAAAGAGTTTACACTTACGGTAACAATCACAAAAGTGTGAATAATTAGTGAAGGAAACAAAATTTCAGTGAAAAGTTTCCAGTCTCTTAATATTTCAGATTCATCTCTTAAAAAAATCTGTACCCGTTTTGTGTCAGATCCATCCATAGACTGGAACTTATGAAGACTTTGTTTAGATTTTCAAAGACAGGAGGTGGAACTATGTTGTTGCCAAAAAAGATAAGCTTTAAAGCGTTTGATGAAAATCAGATATTGCAGTGGGCTGATTGGGCCTCATGTTATGAATTTATTTGTTTTGCTAAAAACTTTTCTTCTAATTTTGTTAGTTTTCGTGTTTATACATGATTTAATTTTAATTTTTTTTTAAATAGCATTAAACCCTGGAGGAGGGAGAGAAGCCCTAAAAGGGCGGTCGTACTCGGTCCTGGTGAAAAATCTCTGAAGTAAAAAAAAAAAAAAAAAAAAAAAAATTCATTTCATGGCTGAGGATCGTCTTCGTCATTCTTAATTTTTTTAGTTCCTGGGAGAAAATAAAGCGAAAACACGGTCGGCTGCTTTCTTTTCCTCGACTTTTCGATTTCTCTATTCAGATTCACAAATTTTGCAATCGAGCTAGTCTCTGGGTTTCTCGTCCTCTGTTTTTGGATCCGTGAATAAAGAAGAAGTAAAAAACATGTTATTCTCGAGGGGTATTTCTCGGATTTCTTCCAAGTTTCTGAGAAATCGCAGCTTCTATGGCTGCTCACAATCTCTCGCCTCTCACCGCCTCGCAATCCTCCCTGATCAGGGTCACTCTTGTTCCGACTCTACACACAAGGTAATTTTCAACAGTTCGATTGCTCCTATTGTGAGCTAGAAAATTGTCGATTTGGGGTTTCTGATTTTGAGCTTTTGTGCAGAATTTGATTGCATGGGTCTTTTTTTTGTTACTATGATCTGTTTAATCATCAACATGGAGCTGATGTTTATTGAATAAATGATTGGGTTTTATTTTGCCTTGCTTGTTATTTAGGGTGTTTGTTGAAGTTTCGTAGACCAATTGAAATTGTCCTATTTTTTGTCTATGATGCTTATAGTTTTGGTGGAGTTGGAATATGGAGTAATTAGCTAAAGCTAGTGTTCTCTTTCTAGTTTCTAATAATGTAGCACAGAGAAAGAGCTTTTTTCCATGGATATGTCGTGGGTCCTATATGCATACATCAGGGCTCTTTTTACCTATGTGTATGTGCGTGTGTGTGTGTGTGAGAGAGAGAGAGAGGGTTAGGATAAGCAAATGATTGCAAAGTATTAGTTTTTCTTAAATTTCATGTGTAATATTAGAATTGGTGACCTAACCAATGTGTTATTCTTTGTGATGTTTTAGTAGGGTTACGTTTGCAGAGGAACTTATTCATTGAAATCTCCGGGTTTTGGTGGTTCTAGACATCATCTCTATCACCAGAGCAGCTCTGTAGTTGAGGTTTGTACTTATTAGTTTCCTTGAATCATCATGATGAGCTTAAACTATGATCCTCTATTGTTAAACTTTCACGTATACTTTTAAATTTTGGACATTCCTTCACTTGTATACGAAAAATCTGTCAAAACCCAACTGTTATATTGAGTCTAAAATTGCTTGTCACTGATCTTATAGAAATTGGTCACTGTGTATTTAAATCTCAAGTTATTGCTGAATGCTGAAACGTTTCAAAATTTCTCCTCTTCTTTTCTGACTGCTGAAAGAGTGTAAGATTATCCTTTCCTAGGAGGAGCTTGACCCGTTTTCGCTTGTTGCCGATGAGCTGTCACTTCTTAGTAATAAATTGAGAGCGATGGTTGTTACCGAGGTAAGTGTCATTCATTCGTACGTATTGTGTTCATAAAGAATCGTCGGAAGCAAGTTTGGTGTCTGACTTCTGCTAATCAGGTTCCTAAGCTTGCCTCTGCAGCTGAATACTTCTTCAAAAAGGGTGCGGAAGGAAAACACTTTCGTCCAACTGTAATGACCATAATAATCTCTTTAATATTTCCATTCCTTTTCATCATGCTCTAAATCATTTTCTCTCTCGGTATCATAACCAGATTGGTTTTATGTCCATAGATTTTGCTGTTGATGGCGACAGCTCTGAACGTGCGCATACCAGAAGCGTTGGCTGCTGAATCAGCAGCTATGGTCCCATCAGAATTACGCGTAAGGCAACGGGGTATTGCTGAAATCACCGAAATGATACATGTCAGTAACTACAGGTTTACTCATAACATTCATACAAAACAAGACCAGTATCATTTTTTAATTTCAATCAGTAATGCTTTTGTCATTTGTAGGTTGCAAGCCTTCTACACGATGATGTCTTGGATGATGCAGATACAAGGCGTGGTGTTGGTTCCTTAAATTTTGTAATGGGTAACAAGGTACGCACTTGACAGTGGCGTCTACTATCTAAAACATAATTAATTTTGTTTTTTTAGCGATTGTACTGCAATAGGATATTAAGATCACCAATGACTTCATGTTGTAGGTATCCGTATTAGGAGGAGACTTTTTACTCGCTCGGGCCACACAAGCTCTTGCTGCACTAAAGAACACAGAGGTAAAAAATCAAGAACTGTTTTTTGCCAACTTGTTCAAGAACTATCTGCTTTTTTCAGATACGGTGGTTGATAGGCTATTTACATTTGCGTTAATATAGATATATAGAATCAATAATTTCAGTCTGAAGAATTAACTATCAGCCATTCATCTCCATTGATTCTCTCTTTTGTAGGTTGTATCGTTACTTGCAACCGTTGTAGAACATCTTGTTACCGGTGAAGTCATGCAAATGACTAGTACAACCGAGCAGCGACATAGGTTATTATTATCTTCTTCCTTGGTCAAATACAACCATACAAAAAAAACACTACGCAAGACGTCTATGATTATTCATGTAAACATGATTTTTCTTTCTGTCTTTCATGGCTGCAGTATGGACTACTACATGCAGAAGACATATTATAAGACGGCTTCACTGATCTCAAATAGCTGCAAAGCGATTGCCTTACTCGCTGGACAAACAGCAGAAGTTGCCATGTTAGCTTTTGAGTACGGGAAGAACCTGGTTCGTTATCTTCTTAACGTTGGCTCCATTGCAACTAATGTTCTTTCAAATCTTGAATCGGTTCTTCTTTTCGCAGGGTTTAGCATTCCAATTGATAGACGACGTTCTTGATTTCACGGGCACATCTGCGTCTCTCGGAAAGGGATCCTTATCAGATATCCGCCATGGAATCATAACAGCTCCAATCCTTTTTGCCATGGAGGAGTTTCCTCAACTACGCAAAGTTATTGATCAACTTGAAGATGATCCAACGAACGTTACCATTGTAAGTTTGAAATGAACAAATCTCCTAAGTTCTATAAATACGTTTGCAGAGTCTCTTATGTTATATATATCCTATAAAAAAAAAACGAATCAGGCTTTAGAGTATCTTGGGAAGAGCAAGGGAATACAAAGAACAAAAGAGTTAGCTATGGAACATGCGAATCTCGCAGCAGCAGCAATTGGGTCTCTACCTGAAACAGACGATGAAGATGTCAAAAGATCGAGGCGAGCACTTATTGACTTGACCCATAGAGTCATCACCAGAAACAAGTGAGAGGATAAGACAAAGTTTCTCTCTATTATACAACAAACATCGTCATAACAATGATGAGAATGTTTCAATTTCATTTCATTCCATTCGTAGGATTTTGTTTTTGTCCAACTCGTTTTACAAAATAATTTGTTGGACAAGTTGTGGTTTTCATTACAACAACATAGATGGAAAAAAAAAGTGTCTATGATATCATTCTCGGTCATACCTTTCGAGTTATGTTTGGTTTTTTAACAGATTAAACCGTCTTCCGAAGCTGAACAAACAAGAGGCACTAATAAGCAGCACATTGAATTCATCAAACAGACAATATTACATCCACAAAATTCCAGAATTGCTGAGAAAGGAAGAGATTTTTTATCTAAGGTTGTAATAACGGTCTTTACTCTAAACCGGAAACAAACACAAAAACCGGTTAAGGATCAGTCTCTTCTTCAAAGTCCATGAGAAAATCGGTTAAGTTTTCAGAATCATCCACGGCCTCGTCTAGAGACATTGGACCTTCTTTCTTCGGTTTAGGCTGTTTCAGACACCAAACAGGTAAATATCATTAACACACACAAACGCAAAAATATTTAGACGGCTAAAGCTGAATGTGGCTTTTACCTTGGCGCTGCGAAGCTCAGGGGTACTCTTCAAGACACTCCAGTTCCTCGGCACTTTCTCATCTTTTTCTACTTCTTCTGCATCATCTTCCTCGTCCTGTCATAAAAAGTACAGAGATGTCTCAGATCATGATAAGTTAAAAACATTCAAGAAAACAATGAATAAAGAAGAAGAGGATCTGATGTAATCGAACAATACTCACATCGTTTTCGCCAATATCAACAGCTTGTGCCATTGCATCATCAATATCAGGCACCTGCATCCATACAATTTAGCAAACAAAACCATGAAATCTCTCAGTACGAGTTGCATCAAAGAGCAAAAGAAGGGTCTTTTTTACCTCAATCTGCTCGGTTTTCTCTTTTGCCAGTAGCGTTTCGTGCACCTCTCTCGAGATGACTTTGCCATTCTGATCAAATCAAAACAAAACAAAGAAAACAAAAATCAGAACAAGACAAAAGAAAAGGAATAGAATTTTGAGCAAAAAGCAGACTAACCTCCTTCAGATAAGAGAGCATGTTTGGTGTCGGCTCATGAAAATCGGGTCCTCTGAAATCCATAACCGCGTCTGGAGCTTGAATGTAGTTGATTGTCGGGTAAACTGGATCACCTCCCCATACTGCAAGAAACGGAGAAAGTTAACCGAAAGATTTTAAAACATCCATGAAAATGAGTTAGTTAAAACCGTTAAAAGTTTCATACTTTGCTTAATTTGATCCTCCCTCATCCGCATTGCCAAAGGATCCCTCTTGATCCTAATGTCAGTTCCCATCATTATCCTGTATTCTCGATCTGTCTGATGAGAGAACATCTCAATCAGCTGTGTGTTTTCATCTTCACCTGTCTCTTCAAAATGCTTCTGTACAGCTTCCCGTGACGTGTCTCTCTTCCATGCTTTTACCCATTCAGAATAAAAAGCCATTGGACCTACTTTTACTAATCTCTCTCGTTCAGCTTGCAGCCTGAGAATTACAAAAGTAAAAAATCAAAGAAACTAACAAAAACGGTTTCTTTTTTTAAAACTAGAAAGTCGTTAAGAGTAAGATACCTCTCTTCCTTGAAAAGATGCCTTCTTGCTCTGTAAAGAGAAGTTTCCGTGAGTGTTGGTTCTTTCCCATATAGCTTCACTTGTCCTGTTTCTGCCATCGCCTTGAGAAAAACCTGAAACAGCAAAAAATAGCATTAAGGAACAACGCACATGGTTTAAACCCCGAAAATTACTGTAATTGACTCACCGTTTCAACATCAGGACGTCTTCTTTGCCATCTTGACCACTGTTCTTTCTCCGGTTTCCTCCAGTTCCACCAACTCTCATCGCTCGTGAGCGTCTTCTCTATTTGCTTCTTTTTCGTTGGATCGATAAAAGGATGTGGCCTTCCAAGCTTCTTGTCAAGCTCAAACCCACTCTCTTCCTCTTCTTCTCCTTCAAACCCATTGTTATAGACAACAAACCCGTTCGATGCATCGTTCTCCTCTTCCTCAGAGTTATCCTCAGAATCCGATACTTCATCATTCACCTCAACGGCCACGTTTTCTTCAGTAGCTTTACGGTTCTTCTTCCTCCGACTTCCGGGATTTTTACCATACGAAGGGAAACTAGAAGACTCACCAGCTGGTTGAGGAGCCCTAGCAGCTCTAACCTGGCTCGAGGTTCCTTCGGGCCAATAGTCTTCACCTGGAATGCTGGCTCGAGCCCCAGACGCTGGCTTGAGTTCTCCGGAAGTCGAATCCATATAGCTATAGTAAGGAGCCCTCTCAACAGACACGTACTCATAACCTGCTTCATTCTTCTTAGAGCCTTCACTTGCAGCATCATCGTCATCATCAACAACATCACTCTCCTTCTTGCATTTGATACAATGTCGCAATAACCGGTCCCCAGAAGCAACCCCGAACTGTAACCTCCTAATCGGAAATCCGCATTTAACCGGCCTCTACATGTATTAAACAACTTGCTTAAGACATCTTGAAACAACATTTGATATATAAAATGCATATAAGTCTAAGAACCAACCTGCAAAATACAATTACCGAACTTTCCACTCTCTGTGCAAACTTTATCTACCGGAGAACAAAAACAAAACCGGAATCAGAACTGAGAAATGGGAAAAACTGTAAAAGTGGATGAGAGAAACAGAGCTGATGAAACCTCGGTAGAGCCAGGTTGTGGTTGATATTGACGCCATTACACACTCTCTACTTCCCACTGTATAATTTTACATAAACTAGTCACACGTGATGCAAAACATTTGAATTCAATTATGGTCAGAATCAGTATGAACAACAAAAGCATCATAAACCCAGATACGAAGTACTGAATCCAACTAATTCTCCAATAGCAATAATGACCGGTCTTTAGGAATGTCTTCACATTCGAAAATTGAGAAGAAAAAGACGAACCTTTATGTCTTACCAAGAGATTATGTATGTACCAAGGAGTTTTCGATTATCTGGGAGAAAAGTCTAAGTTTCTCATGGAGGTTGTTGATTTGAAGGGGGTTTAGTGTTTTCTTTTTGTTTCCTTCAAATGTTTTTTTCACTTTTCAGTTTTGGGTTTATCCATTCATCTCCGCAGCGTATATCAAAATTCTTGTGACGCCGAAATCTGAATGTTTTCTCGACACACGCGCTCCACGCGCCGGTGTTAGAACGCGAAATTATTAGGGAAGGGAAAGAAGATGGGCTTTATATTGCGAACTAAAGCCCAGTATCAGTGGATCTTGCGAAATTCTCAAAGCTTCTTGGGCTTAAACACTTACAAAATAAGTCAGGAACCAAACCAGATGTTGTTGACATGTTTTTGTCTTTTTCTTTTTTTCCTAATCGCCAACTCTATTTGTATATTTTAGCTATCTATCTCCCCAAACACATCAAGCAGTTATCAAATTCTTACCCAAAAAACAAAAGCTTTGAATTTTAAATTTTGAGTGTACCTTTCAATATTTGGAAATCCTTAATAGCTGTATAGATACATTTATATATTAATTTCTTATGGATTTTAACGTTTTAAAATGTCTAAACCAATAAACTAGTGTAAAACTGAAGCCATATAATACTAAAAGAAAAAAAAAATGCAAGAATATTTATGAAATTCGTATGCGAACAAATGTTAGTTTTGACTTTTAAGGAGATTTGTCTTCCATATGGAATAATATAGTGGGCTCTACAATGGACCAGTAAAAAGAAAATAATCAAAAACATAGTGGGCTCTAGTGTTCTGCAATGGACCAGTAAAAGAAAATGTTAATAAGAAAACAAAAACCAAAAAGATGAATCCTTAAATAATTACAATGATAATAAATATTTGCACTCCGCGTATTTTATAATTAAAAATAACAACAAGAGAAGATTTGGACCAAATAGAAGAAGATTTGGACCAAAGCCAATGGGAGTGGCAATAGGCTAATGTGCCAATGTGGTCTGAATCAAATATTAAATGAGTCTGACCAGACACATCATAGACATTACGGTATCTATCACAGGTCTATTTTAACCTAATTTCCTATATTTATATAGTCCTTAGTTTAATCGTTTTCCTACTCGCAAAACGACGATAAGATTTATTTCTAGGGACCAAATATAGTGTAATAGTATATTTATCTTTTCTGTTTCAGTTTCTGAATTGTTGCAGACGTAGACCACGTAAGACTATACCACAAAGGTCTGACTAGGCACAAGTTTCGGTGACCCGCACGCGCCTAACGTCACGTTTGAATCTATTCGTGCAACAACGAGATTATCTATGCGACGTCGTTTTTCCAATGCCCTAATATTTGCTTTTTACATTAGAAATTCTATATATATATATTGACTTTACGAAATTCATTCATCAGCAGCAGATACAAACTGCTATAGTTTAGCTCGTACTATGGATTGTTACTGTCTTTTCCGAATTTTTTTTTTTTTTTTTAATTTGAGAAAAATGAAGGAGAAAGTTATCTCAAAGCACTAAAAAAACTGTATGTTTGATGCTTTTGTGACCGTTAATAAATGAGTGGCTTAATTGGAAATCTCGTCAACCTTTTTCTGCGACATTATTCACTTCCACAAGTAACTGGAACAGAATCTCACAAGTGGCGAAACGTCCTAACCCCCACGTGGCATGTAATCCTTGTGCTAAAACAAATGGAGTATAAGATGTGTAAATGTGTGTGTGTATGTTACATATGTGTAACTGCGACGGGAATAAACACCTCGATGAGTATATTGGGTAGATGTGGACATGTCATACGCATTTCGCAGAGAGACATGCACGCATACAAACAACTAACGAATAAATTTCCATAGATGAAAATTTTTGATTTTTGATTTTACGTATCTCTCTTTGTTGTTAATGTTAGATGTACACCAGAATGTGCATATACTTCAAGATGTGTATAAAAGTAAGAATATTTAACCAACTTATTCATATTTAATTGAATACTACCTACTCCAAGTTGACAAGCCAGTAAAAGTAATTGAATAGTCAATACAAATTTGAGAATTACAAAACAATTAAACCAACTTATAGCAATTTACTTTGCTCGTCAATAAATCACTACTACAAGTTAACAAGCAAAGTAAATGAGCTGCTACTAGAAGTTAACAAGCAAAGTAAATGAGCTGCTGTTAAATGATAGTATCTTCCTTTGCTTGTTAATTCAACCATGTTCATGCATTTTTGATTAAATTAAAATACTAACTCCGATTATAAGTTATTAAACACTAACTCAAATGAGAGTAGTGGGGCAGAGAGAGGACAAGAACGGGACAGTGGCATACATCAGACTGGTGAAGCTGTCCCTTGTGCTGTTGGGCACATCCCATGTGTTGTCACACTTCTCTTCTTTCTATTATTTATTTATTACTTAAAATCTAACAAATCATGTTATTCTATGTGTGTTTCAATTATTAATTAAAATTATTGTGTACACAAATAATTTATCTCTTTTTATGTCACCAAACACTTTTGTTCACGATCTAGTCCGCTGATTCAAGCAGTAGTAACGTATTGTACATATACACCTTATATATATATATACTTACTCAAGAGATTATCAAATATTATCAGGCCAAAACAGTAGATCATCGAAGCATTAGGAACGGAAATTGCGTAAGTAACTCGATACCATCGGCCACTAATTACTAAAAAAACAATTAAACGTTAATCCGCCACTTTATTAGCTACCAAATTGTCGCATAAAATGTTTCATATTCGTAACCCATTTGTAGCTAAACAACGTTGGCGGCCTAAACAATTGTTTTTTAGTTACAAAAAATTAGTGATCAAGTACATTCGTCCTTCACGAATATGCGAACGTTTTAAATACATACTAGTTGTTACATACATTTGATGATACAACGTCTGGTATATTTTGTGTTCGTTTGGTGTGTGTGAATTTAAAATCTGTATAAATATATAGTATTATGAAATTAGTAGTATAAATTCAGTTATCCAATTATTGTTTTTCAAAATACTGTTATTAATTGCATGGGAAGTTTTCTTGGGTCCACGTAGGCGACTGAGAAGGGAATAATGACAAGTTACAAACCTCGGTTTCTGCGAAAGAAACACCTCTCCCCATAAGAAAGACTTTGACTTTTGAGTTAATGTTATTTTATCATATTCAAAGCGCAAACAGTAAAATCATTGTTATCTATAGTTATTTTAAGCTCTTGGTAATTATTGTGGCGAAAATTTAATTATAATTAACAACAGCACACCTCGACGGTAATCTTCTGTGTGGTCCATGTTTTTACACATTTTAGGAGAGACAAAACTTCTATGCATTGTCCAAAACAATTTTTATTGAATTGTCTAATCATTGACATTTCAGCTTTATTCTTTTTTCTTTTTCTTTAGTAACAATGAGAATTAGTCACCATTTTTCACCGTGATGTGCTTATCTTCATAATTACAGTATGATATTATCATTCCATTTCTACCTCTACCTATTTTTATGTTATTTTCTGGATAGGTCAAATTCATTGAAAAATTCTATATTCGAATTAAAAAGACTGTTTTTATACACTATATAGTTTTAGAGCATCCATATCTTAACTATACCCTTAATTTACATATAATCTTATCAGTCACTGTGGCATATATATATATATACAACATACAAAACTAATGCATATGTGTATTCACATATATACATACATACTGCATATATATACCCATTTAATAACACACGTAGATAAATCAAGCGATGTTGGTTGGTTGGTTGGTTGAACAACGTACTAACTTCATAAATTCTCGACGTATTGAATATACAATTAGAGCAAGTACGTATATTGTTTTTGTTACTTATAAGATAGACAAAACATCTATCTAACTCTCTATTTTTCTAGTATTAATTTTGCTTTTGTTTTTACACACTTAAATTAAATCTTATGAATATGTATATGTCTACGGTCTACAGACAAACCCACTTTACGCAATCCAAAGGCCTCTGGCCTTTGCAAGTTTCTAGATTACTACCACATTATGCAATGGATGAAGTTGGGAACATGCTTCAGACATGCCCAAATATGTTAGCTTAATTATTGTTCACTTTCTCTCTTAACTTTACACTTAAGAATTACATTCTCCAAACAATCATATACTTACATACGTTTTTTCTCAAACACAACTCTAATATACTCTATACTGTTATATAAAAAACTCGATATTTGATATATATATATATATATATATATATATTCGACGTCCTCACAGTTGGTGTTATCTTAAAGTTCATTTTATAATCTGATACTATTTAAAATGTATGTAATCCGCGGTCAAGCGAATGTATCTAACATAATCGTTTTGTGGCATCGAACAAAATGAAATTACCTTACTAGAAGATCTCGTTTCGTGCGTTGGATCAAGAAAACAATTCGTCTCACCTCCTAATAGTTTATTGTTCTCTTAGTTTGAAAATGGACAAAGAGAATCGAAAGCAGAAGAAGAGATCATGCAACTGGTCGGATCACGTAAAGCATATTCCTACGCTTATGGATAACGTTTTTTTCCTTCCTTTTTTGACATTCAAAAGACCCCTCAAGGTTAAACAAAGAGCAAATATGACTCATGTGTTACAATTGTCAAAAGAGGAATCTTCCTTTTCATTTTTATACCAGTCGAACTAAAAGTCTAAGGCGTGACGAGTTATAATATAAAGTAATTAGATTTTTCTTTTATTGTTGATAGAAGAAAATATTGCGGTGAAAAGAAGTTTATTCAAAACGGTAAGAAATGTTGACCAAATTGTCAATTTTATAATGCCCATTCCCATGAACTGACTTTAATTAGACTGCTGAGATGTTTCCCAAGTTCCGAAGAGTACTTAATTAGATTAGCTTAAATTTATCAGTTTGTCGTACAAATCGCGTGAGAAGTCGTCTAATTTCAATATATTAGTCAGATAAACGAAAATTTATAAAATTAAAGACAGCTTCGAGGGAATATGTACAGCTAAAACAGCTATCGTCACAAGGCAGTCACCAAAAACATGGCACCGACCTGAACCGACTAACACGTGGCGCTAATCTCGACCGTTAATTTCAAAAGTAATCGAACGCCGCTGGTTTACTAGCTCTACCACCGAACGTCGACGATTTCTTCGGTATCCTGACCTCGGAGGGAATCTCCGGCGGAGTTAATGTACGAATGAGCGCAAAGTTTAGACCTTTGAAAAACGGATGCACTTTAACCTCCGCCGCGCCTCGCCGTGACCCGAGTCGTTTGTTCGGATCCTTGTTGAGCAACCCGGAGATCAATCCCCGCGCGTGAAGCTCGAACATCGTCGACGGCGAATCGGTCGGGAAACTCAACGGTCTCTTCACGATGTTACGAAGGATGACGTCATTCGTCGGCGCGGCGAATGGAGTCCGGCCGTAGATCATCTCGTAGAGGAATACTCCGAAGGCCCACCAGTCAACGGCATTTCCATGAGACCCACCTGAGGCGACTTCTGGTGCCACGTATTCATGCGTACCAACAAACGAACCGGACCGAGCGGTGACCGGTTCGGCAACAAAGAGACGGTTCGGTTCGAGCGTCTGAACCTTTTTGGACCGCAAGACTCGGTGGAAGATCCTAGAGAGTCGAGTGAGTCGGCGCCGGGAAGAACGGGGTTGATTCTCCGGTGAAGATGTGGAGGATTCAACGGCTGCGATTGAGTCGGAGCATAAGGAGAGATCAAAGTCAGAGAGCATAATGTGACCGTCCGATCTAACTAAGATATTTTCAGGCTTCAGATCTCTGTAGATGATACCCAGCATGTGTAGATATTCCAGCGCCACAAGAACTTCAGCCGCGTAAAATCTGTAACAATATTATTTCAAAAAATAAAATAAAAATCAGTTAGAGGTTATAAAAAATCATAATAATTGTTATTGTGATGGGTTGAAAAAGACTCTTCTTAACAAATTCAAAGAACTGTAAAAGACCGACATGATAAGAACAGGTCAGTTCTTGCAGAAGAAGATAACAAAAGATGTACAGAGTCAATGCATGCAAATTCGTATACACTGTCGATTTTCAATCAATTTTTTTTATTAAAAAAAATCTGACTTTTTCTGCAATTTTATTTTTAATAAAAATATAAAAAAAATTAATTTTTGTACCTGGCGGAGGAAAGGGAGAATCTGCGGTTGAGCTGTTTGTGACGGAGGGAGTGCAAATCTCCGCCGGAGCAATACTCCATGACGATGCAAGAGAAATGCGATGCGTCAAACTCGGCGTAAAGAGTCGGCAAAAACGGATGGTCAAGCATCTTCAGAATCGTCTTCTCCATCTCTGCTCTGTGCATCTTCTTCTTCATCGCAAGCGCTTCTTTGTCCACCACTTTCATCGCGAAATACGAGCTCCGGCTCTCTTCTTCGTCTCCGGCGAGACGGCACAAGTACACGGTCCCGATGTCTCCGGCGCCGATTCGACGCATGAGTCGAAAATCTCGGAAGGTGAGGCCTTGTTTCCGCCGCCGTCGGATCTCCGAGTATGCGAAATCGGAGGATCGGTGCGGTTTAATAGAGAGAAGGCTCTCTTCCTCGGGGATAATCGCGGTGGTTGACGGCGGCGCGTCGAAAGATAACCGGCTGAAACTGCTGCAGCTCTCTGTTCCGCTGCTAATCGGCGAGTTCGTCGTCTCTAAGCTCATCTCACCGTCTGATTCCCGTAACATCTCCGCAAAATCAAAAGTATAAAGCTTAGAAATGAGAAAGAAAAATTGGAATCTGAAAACGATATTCAACGGCAGAGTAATGACAGAGATGCAACAGAATCACGCATTGATTTCGATAAGCTTTAGGGTTTATGATTGAGAAAGAAGAAAAAGAGGAAGTTTTTGAAGTTGAGAGAGAAGGAAGGAAGAAGGAGAAGTGTGTTCGGGTTTAGAGAGAGGCGTGAGAGTTGGTGAGGGGTATTTATGCGTGTGGAGGTTTAGAAGAAAGAATAATAAAACGCAACAGTAAAATGACGTTACAGAAGCATTTTTTTTAACTGTGGTGAATAATAATATACTTGTGTTTACTTGATTGCACTTTTCAACGCATGTGATAGGACCAGAAACAAATAAAAGAGAGCAAAGAGACTTTAATGACGTAAGCGACTATGACACGTGTGAAACTTTGTCACGTGCCTCAAGATGCAGCAGCAGTAGCTTCCTTCCCCAAATATGTATGGATTATAAAATTTGGAGACTAATGTTTCATTTATGGGTTAACACAAATGATTGATATGAATCATCATGAATCTAAAATTCATGTGGATGTGAATTTGCAAAAATGACACAGACAAAACAGTAACACAAACTCTAATTTTACATGTGACGGTTGTTTTCTAATGATTCGATATGACTATAATATACCGACTATGGACATATACCTAATGATCATTAAAGACGATCCAAAGGCTGGAAGGGACCCCAACCTATATACTAGGATGTTGTTGGCTGTGTGTGGTTTCATCTTGTGCTACGTTCCAGATTTGGGTTTGAAGCCAAGAAATGTTTCTGTGTTAGGTTTGGGTTTGGTTTATCCCTTCAATTAATGTAAATATGAAATCTCATCTAGCTAGTTTTGTTTGATTTAGGTCCACCTCCTAAGTCCTAAGTTGTGTGTGGTATTATAGCATATACGGTTATTCAAGTGATCGTTTTGTTTGTTATGATACGAAAATACAGTTAGACGTAGTAATTCTCTCAAAACTCGTGGACTGATCACTGTGACAAGTGTTTTGTTGTTCATTTCACATTAACTTTTTGATTATACAATAGAAATATCCACTCTACGATACTTGTTAGCTTAAGTTTCTGAAATGTCCAAGAAGAAGTTTAAAAAAAAAACGCTTTAATGTGTTGAACCTAAATGAATGGGAAATAGAGGGTAAACGTAGCTTAATTTTCATGCACAATAAACTTTTTTTGTTGTTTTTTGTTTCATAAGTGATAATAAGCCTTAAGACAATGGAGAGACATAAATATGCACAACGTGTACGATTCATTTGGCGCATATACGATCCTGTCATTGGCTACCCTAAAAACACGTTTTACAAAACACAAATTAACTCTCTTTTTTTGTGTCTTGTTTCAATGTTAACAATAAAAATACTTGTATTCAAGAAATGTGGCTGTTCATTTTCATAAGTTTTCAGCCTATATTTTTGCATGTTCATCATATATTACTTGGAGTTATCTTGCATAACAAACACTGCTTCAAAATATTACAAAAACTAAACATTACGCTACGGTTATAGGTGTGTTTCCCTAAATTTTGTTTCATATATATTATATATATATATATTTATCTTAATCATACACTAAACATCTTCTAACTAATCTGTTCAATGGTTAAATTAAGAGATAAGTAGATTGTTTGGTGGGAGAGGGACAAAGCCGTAATTATGACAGCTAGAGGGGGGCAAGAGACAAAACATAACTGAACTCTGGACTCTGGTTTAATAAACCCCAGAGAGATATTCCCTTCCTCGTTCGTTCCTAAAGACAATAATAACTGTTCCGTTACTTAACTATCTTCTCAAACTCTTAGCCAAGTGTTTGGTCACTAGTTTAACTATATCCTAACCTTGACCATCTAAACTTCTACTCCTACATCGGAATGACTTCTGTCTTGTACGTACTGTATCTTGTGGGGTCCACTGTTGTACGGATCGGTTCCCAACACTCCAATCAATTCTCACTCTAGTCTTTTCTTTAAGCTCTAAACAGACGATTTCATCCGTTTGTTTTGTTTTAAAAATCGTAATACTATGTTCTAGTATAAAAGATTATATTGAAATGGATGATGTGCATTGTTCGCGAAGGGCTTAACTTGAACCAGTAAAAAAAAAAGTGGATCCATTAATGAGAATATTAAAGATAGGATCGTAGAGATATGAAGACATTAACCAAAACAGTGTAATTAATTAAAGCGTAGGATGTGAGGAAGACAGGCGGCAACATTTAGGAACTGTGGGTCCCTTTCTCTCTGACACTACAGCTTTTGGGTTGAAAACTTATATAACGATTTGTTTGTATAATAAGAAAAACAAAAGCAAATAAATCCATGAACTACTGTTATTCATTTAAAAGCTTGAAACTAATAAGGACAAATGCAAATAAATACATAAGTATAAATTAATATTCGTTGAAATAAAAAGACACCAGTTACAAAATCTCTAATGTTTGTTTCCCTCACATTATTTTATGCGATGCAGCGTATTTAAAAAATAAAAATATACGTTTCATCAATTTCGATAAAAGTGTTTTTCTAAACTTAATTTTTCACTTTCACCAAACACACGTATGTTACTATCAACATACTTTCTGAGAACTACTAAAACTCTCCACATGTTCTGATTAGCATACACTAAAATGTCATCTCAATAGTATAGGTTATCCAATAATAATATTTTTTTCAAACTAATGGAAATACATTTCTTTAGATATATGAAAACAAATCTATTGAAACTAAATTTGTAGGGAAGCAATTGCAATTGGAATATATAAGAAGCAACTCGCAAGGACCCACGAATAAGTTAAAGAAAATTGGGAGGCATGATGAAAAGGTGCAGCAGAAAGTGTAACAAATATTGATATTTTATACCAGAAGAGGTGCTCCTTATACTAATTATTATATGCGTTTATCATGAATATGCAAATACTATATATATACATGGATTATGGATATAAAAAAACAAATGTATATACCTGCATAGATACTTGATTAGATATGTCATTTACATACTTAGATACATATATACATGCACATATACTTGATTGTATTTAGTGTCATACTCCTTACATATACAAACAAAAAAAAGACATGGCAAGTGAGATTCCTTGTGGGCATGTCAATACTTTGAGAACGAGAATGATTAATAGACTAATAGATACATACATACATACGCATATACAGGTATGTAAAATATTTATTTGGTAGCGCAGAATGAAAGAAAATTGTTAGACTTTTCTTTATAAAAGTGACCCATATCATGAAAGTTGTTTGCTATCAATTGGGAAACTAATCAAATAATTTCTTAATCAATATTAAGAAGGTCCACATCAAAATCGGCTAAAAATTGTCACATGGCATGTGTGAGGTTTATATATATCTGGACTTTGGCAAGAGTTAGACGAGTAGGGTTTCAAAGACCATGACAATGGCATTATTAATAACCTCCTGAGAACCGAATCGTAATCAAAACTCATCTCTTTCTTTTTATTCGTTTATGTAAATTATTAAAAAGATTTCAAACTTATATTTTCTGTGTATTTTGTTGTTAACATTTTCTTAAAAATTAGCATGGTCGATCGGATGATTATCAATCTATAGTTAATGTACCTGGAGAGACAGTGACGCTGAAAAATAGTTAAGTTCCAGATGTATACATACATGGCACTGAAAACTAGTTACTTCCCAAGTTTAGATTGATGTAAAAAAAAAGACTGAAAACCTTAAGTTATCTTGTGTGTTCATAAATTTTCTTGAGGTACAGTACGAAAGAGATTATTGTTAACAACTGAACATTTACGTTTTCTTATGTTCAAAAGAAACCATTTTTTTCGCTAAGGAGATCAAACAACCATTATGTTTATTTTTAAGAGTGGAAAGAACCATTTATCAGACATTTGAAACTTATAAATAAAAGACCTGAAAAGCATACAAAAAATGAAAAGTTCTTTGTCGCCCTCGCCCACCTTATGCAAATGATCACTACTATAAAGTAATTTAATGTTTGCATTTTAAATTTTCTTAGTTAGTTCAAACGCAAAGACTAGCGATTGAAATATCAAAGACATTCGAGTATTACATTATTTTGGTATACAGTGTGTCATAAGATCAAGTCTTTAAAAATAGCGTGTGTGTGTGTGTGATTTGTGAAGGGGCGCTTGTTGTAAATTTAACTGTCCTTTATCTTGCCAAAACGATCCCTTTAAGATTTGGTTGAGAGGAAAAAAAAGATTTGGTTTAGATTTTATGTTGAAAACAATATTTATAAAAACTTTGATCACTAACAAAATTAGTAAAGTTAAGTAAAGGTAAATCCTAACATGTGAGATCGTGTGGACCACATGGCATATGTAATACTAATTAATATTAAGCACCCTGGATTTGGTCTATACTAAATCCAAACTAAATATACTGTTGGCATCTACTTCAAGAAAAAAAAAGCAAAAACCTATCTACTTAGGTAAAAGGAAAAAGAACAACCCTATAATTTACAACACAGATCTTTTTAAACAATGCTGAAAAACAGATTGGTAATGTGTAGTTGTATATATATTATGTGAAAGTAATGTTTCGAGATTCATGCAAGCATATAAGTAAGCATCTTCCACAAATGATGTGATATGCTTCTCATTGAAGCGCTTCTGTAGATTTTACATCTGTTTAATTCTACTGAATCTTAATGGTTAAAAAATTATTCGTTAGTAACTTACATCATCAGAATTAGTCAAACTATCTGATTATTCTAAATTCTCGGTCTCATGTAAAACTGCCAGTCAAACGTTCTCATTATTATTCTACTGTTTAATTGTTTATCATCATTTTGTTTGTTTGTTTGTTTGGTTTACGTATAACAGATCAATTTCTATGAAATATGCAAAATTATTAAGTTGTTGATCGAAATCCCTGAAAAGTTTGGTTTATATTGTAAATCTAATCCCTTATATATCTTGAATTGGCCAATATATATTGATCGAAATCCCTGAAAAGTTTGGTTTATACTCTAAATCTAATCCCTTATATATCTTGAATTGGCCAACATATAGATACAATATGATGTATACCTTTATGAGAAACATTATGGTATGTGTTAGAGATGAGATTCGTACCCTCTCTAACAAACCCGATATAAATTATGGTTGGCCCATCTAACAAGTTTCAGGTCGGTGATATAAAATGAGCAACCCGGAAAAAAAGGAAACTCTTTCTTGTCGGCAAGAAGAGTTTCCTATTCTAACCGACTTGATTAGCTATAAATATAGGAAGTCCTCGACTCCTCAAATTCATCTGAAAAATCATTGATCAAGATCTGGATCAAACTAAGCAATCAGATTGTTCTAGCTTTTGATTTACTTTCCTAAAGAGTTTTAGGTCGGCGTTCTTATTTCGACGACCTAAAACGTTGTTATATTCTATCAAGCTCCGACTTCTTCTAATAAAAGATCTCTTTTTAAACCTTCAAACTTTAATTTTTCTATAAGTTGAACTTGAGTTTTTACAGTATATATCTTCAATCGATGATCGAACTAGGAGAAAATATGTTACCTCCCGAAGGAGATACAATACAACGTCATCACTAGCCTATAACTCAATTGATATTTTGTTAACAATTTCTAAGTATTAATTAATAATATTTTTGATTTGGATTTTTGTTTATTTAAAGGCAAAATTTTATACCCAACTAAAGAATTAATAATATTTTTGATTTGGATTTTTGTTTGTTTTAGGATATATACTTGTATTTATATATAAAAAATGTATTTTAATATGTACTTTCCTTGTCGTTTTAGGAGTAGTTTTTAGTAGCCATTAGCATCAAAAAAATTGGACGGAAATTATTGCATGAAAAAGTGGATAAATAGTGTTAGACCTAGACTACTTTTCCACCTTAATCGTCGAGCTAATCACGTTGTAATAATCCGGGCAGAATAAGAGACAAACAATGAAACCACTTTCCTAGAAGATCATAATATATTTATATATATTAAAAAGATCATAATATATGGAGCAATGGCGGAAAACATACATAGCATTAGCATATACATAAATGTGTACCGTAGGGAAGTTACGTGAGGCTCGAAAGTTGTTACTTCTGTTGCTGCTGTGGTTTTGTTGTTAATTTTAATAAAAAGAAAAAAATAGAATAAGATTATTAATTAATTCTCTTTTAAAAAAGATTATTTATTAATTAATTGATACAATTTTAATAATCAAGAGGGAAAACCGGCCGCCAATATTCCCGCTGCCGTGGTAAGCCGACAAACGGACAAAATGTGTTTAGAAAACATATTGAATTTATATGGCATTATTAATATATACATGGCCAAATAAATGAGTAAATATGTACTGTATTATTATTTGCAAAAATCATGGCATCAGCTTATTCACCAAACGAACATAATGCATATTTAAAATGGAATACATAAGTACATACTAACTTCTGCACACAAAAAGTACTACATAATAACTAACGCAAGAAAAGAAAAGTGCATAACTTTTGACTCAAAAAATGTACGCAAATAATAGAGAGCACTACTTAAAACTTAGTATTAGAATACAAATGTTGTTTTAGAGATTTTTAGATTGAAACAAACTCGTTATAATATAAAGTAAATTAATAGACCCTGCTTTATAGTATATATATACACATATAGTCGTTGTAGACTTGTAGCCAAAGGCACCTAAAATTGGAAAATCCTAGAGAATCCAACTTTTCCCATTGGAATTCTACAATATGCTTGTAATTTTAGCAAGTAAATTGTTACATTTTAATATATTATTAGTTCCCAAAACTGTTGACATTGTTCCCATGTCTCTTCCAATAATTTAATCTCTCTCCAATAACATTATAAATTGTTTTCACATCAAACCAATAGATTCTGCCGGGCCACTACTCTTTAATCACTTTGTTATACCAATAAATTAAAACATACAGTATAAATCAGTCTTGGGATATGATGTATAAACAACGACATACGCAAACTATAATCAGAACAAGATTCGACTCAGGAGTCAGGAGACAAAACTTTGCATCTTTGTGTAAGTCATTAGTAATAAATCTTTTTTTTTTTTTTTGACAAGAAGAGTAGTATTAATTTAAATATTTTATTCTTAATATTAAAGTAAAACATAGGGTGATTGTTAACGGTTAATATTTTGAACTTAGATGTTACAAAATTAATCGCAATAGTGAAAACACTAAATTATATTGAGTCATGTGACTGGTCTCCCGATTCGAAACTAACCTTCTTTTCATTCTTTTTTTGTTTTTTTCTCCGTTTTCTGATTAGTGTACCTGGAGTATAAATTAAAGCTTAAACATCACAGCTAATCCCACTAACTTCACTCAAATGACGTGGATCCAGTATTATTTTCCATGGATTCCATTTTGTTTAATTTGAGTTATACGAGTTAGAAGAACATTTGATTCTAGTTTTTCCGCTTTGTATTATTTTGTTTTCCTCAGAGAGCAAAGTTCTAAAAGCCCTGAAGGGCCTAATGGGCCTTAGTCATTGCAATGCAATCTTCTATCAGGTGCGGGACAACCTTATCCAGTGATTAAACCCAATAATCACTCGACATGTCAGCAACAAGTAACCAAAGAGAATCCATTTCTGTGATCTCCCCAAGCCAGAGGATGCTCGCTCATGTTGATCTTGATTTCATTTAAACGAAATCCCAGAAATTATATAACCAGTTGAACAAAAAAAAATAGCAAATTACGTGAAACAAAAATATTCGAAGAAAATGGCGAGCAATGTGATGACTAATTCACTACTACCTCAGTTCAATGGTCTTAGAGCAAGCAAGATCTCTGTATCGCCAGTTCAAGTTTTGGTTCGTATATCTCAATTTTAAAATTTCAAATGATTACATTTCTATTCATTCCCAATGTTTCAAATGTTTTAGTGTTCTTGGTTACATGATATAACATCTATTAATCCTACATTTTGTGCAATTTCTGTTGAAATTAAAATTTTTGTTTGGTAATGCTTAATCTATGTCCAGCCAATGAGACGCAAGGGAAATGGAGCTTTGGGTGCAAAGTGTGACTTCATTGGTTCATCAACAAATCTGGTAAAATAAAGTATATAAGTTTAGGAAATTTTTTAACTGATTAATTAAATAAAGACTAAGTTTAATTGAAAACGGGATAAAAAGATAATGGTGACGACGACGAGCCTGATGCTGTTCGCGGGAAGATTCGGGCTGGCGCCATCAGCCAATAGGAAAGCGACAGCTGGACTAAGACTTGAGGTGAGGGATTCGGGTCTACAAACGGGTGACCCGGCCGGGTTCACACTCGCCGACACCTTAGCATGTGGCACCGTTGGACACATCATCGGCGTCGGAGTTGTGCTCGGCCTTAAGAATATCGGTGCTCTGTAATCTCTCTCTCTCTATCATGTGTAATGTGTTCCGTGTTTGTATATGTTGAATCTTATTACCGAATAACATATATATTAATCTAAGCAAAGCTATCACAAAATGCAAATTGTATATAACTTTTTTTTAGCTTTCTCTATTGGTTCATGTTAAGTTTTGAGGATCTATCAATAAGCAGGCCCAATAATATAACAAACACATTGATTTTTATATATAGAAACTCAAAAGATCGTAACTCAAAAAACTTTTTCTTTCATTACAAAAATAAAATGTACAAAAGATAAAAGGGAATATAAGGTTAACTCGATAAGAAAAAAAAAGGAAAAAAAAAAAAGCCGCGTTCTCCTTCGGGGGTTGCTCTTTCTTTCTAGGTTACAAGTAGAGCTTTGAGATTCTCTCGGTGACGTGATCATAATCTACACAATGTCTTCCAAAATTAGGGCAAAGAAGAAGAAGAAGGAGAAATCCTCAGAACCACCGTCGTCTCTGATGAATTCACTCCCCGATGACGTCGTTATTGACATCTTAGCGCGTGTACCGAGATGCGACTATCCAATACTCTCCCTCGTTTCTAAGCAATTTCGTTCACTCGTTGCGTCCCGTGAGCTATACGCTAGGCGACTTTTGTTGAGTTGCACTGAACACTGTCTCTATGTTGTGTTCTTTAACCGTAAAACTAATGACGACCGTTTGCATATTCTCCGCCGAAAAGCCAACGGTGATAGCAGCTTGGTCCTTATCCCTTGGCTTCCCGCTATACCTCGTGGTGCAAGCTTTGTAGCGGTGGGCTCAGTGATATATGTGTTTGGTGGGATTAGCAATCGTTACGAGGCAACGAGTCCGTTAACCATCGATTGTAGATCTCACAGGGTGAAACACCTCCGGAGCATGCCTATAGCCATGACTTATACAATCGCTGAGATCATCGACGGGAGAATATACGTAATTGGAAATCGTAGTTACTGTGATAGGAAGAAGATGATGGTGGTGTTCAATACAAGAACACAAACGTGGGAGAAACCTGGGGTTATAAAGATAGACATTGAGCTAGGTCCAGATGCAACAGGGATTGGCTGTGTGGTGATGGGTGACAAGTTGCACGTGAGGGATGATCAGAGTAGCTTTGTTTACGAGCCAAAAGAAGGTAAATGGGAAAAGGACGAGAAGATGAATTTAAAGCGGTGGATGCATGCGTGTGTCGTCGATGACGTATTGTACTACTACGATAGTTCTGAGGAGAGATTAATGGCATATGATCCAAAGCAGAGGTGTTGGGGAGTGGTGAAAGGTGTAGAGAAATTCTTGGATGAGCTTAATGGATCATATCCATACGATACTAGCATTGTGAATTACGGCGGGAGACTGACTGTGTTTATTCATAAAGGGAAAGGAAAATCAGGAAAGATTTTGCTGGAAAAGCGCCAAAGAGGGGAGATTTGGGGTAAAGTTGAGTGGTGTGATGATGTTATCTCTGAGAATTTGAACAATAGGAAACTTTTAGATGTTATTGTCTGATGCAGGAACTCTTCCTCGAAAACATATAGACCATGAATGTTTGATTAGTTTTTGGTTTTTGATTTTTAGAAGACTTGAATGGTAATTTTATCTGTTTTTTTTTTAAGTTACGATTTAGATTTTTTTTTTTTATTTAGAGCTAACTTTCAAAACTTACAGATTTCGTTTGTCAAACACATACTCAGCATGTTACCTTTAGATCAAGCAGTTCTTAATATTCAAGCACTCACCTAGATCCATTGATAATGTTGGAGAGAAGTTCTCCAACATTTAAAGTCCCCACAAAAACCCTCAAATTAGCACATTCATATAAAAAGTTTATGGTTTTCCTCCCACGTTTGTGTTCTTGCTTCTAATTCACTAAACAAATAGATTAATTCCAAATTGCCAATGATAATTTATTATGTCTCTTATTTTCTTTAGGATCAGTATGTTAGATTTCATACCGAATGAAATTACCTAACAAAGTCTGCATCAATGGACATTGTGATATTCACATCTGCGTCAATGTTCATATGCATATATTTCTTGTCGTTATGGTCTAACTATCGTTTTATTAAAGCTGATCAAAAATAAGAATTAGTAAAAGTTGAAGAGACTCCATCCATGGTCGTCAGGGAAGTGTATAGAGATGCTTAACTTGCTTAAAGAGAGAATTACACAAAGTAAGATAGGCAAAACTCAGCCTTCGTAATTTAAGCAGGTTCTTGAGTTAATAGGATTTTATTCTCATAATTTTTTTTTTTTAGTTTATTGGTTTTCTATTTAATATTAAGGCGTATACAGAGATCTGACTATCCAACACTCTGTTAAAATATTTGTTTGCATAAATGTTTTTAACTTTATTAGTTTGTCTCTGTGTCTATAACCTGCTTAGGCCTCTCTTCACATTGTCTATTTGATTCCTCACACTTCTTCTCTGTTTCTTCTATTTTTTTTTTTTTTTCCAACAACTCTATCAATTTCAATAAATTTAAGATCAGCTGATAAATGATAGAAGTCATCACGTCATGAGCGACATTACTTTTCCTAACCTATATATGTATAAACTCTTACGTGTTTGTATTGATCTCGTTCAAAGGGAAAAGGAAAAAGATGGCGTCGACATTCACTTCATTTCACCATATGTTTGATATTTCTCAACAAGTCAAAAATATAAAGACCGCATGCATGGTTGACTGTAGTGTAAGACTTTGACTTGCCGAGAAAGGGTACGTAGCCAAGATCAATGCAAACACGTAACTAATAAAGTATCAAGCAATCGAGAAATTCACTATGTATACATATGATACCAAAAACACATCTTATCAAGAAAAAGTACTAGTTAGGCATGAGTATGATACTATCTCTCTAAATTTTTCGTTTATATAAATCTCATTTGTTGTGCAAAAGAAAAGCTAAAATTATTTTGCTGTTGGTGTTATTGTCGACCGTTGTTGAAAAGTTTGCAATGATGTGATTTGGTTCCTAATCTAAAATATCTTCACATACTAGCTAATATGTGAACGTGAACGGTGGCTGTATGTGAAAGGGGTTATATTACGTTACTTTATCTTTCTGCTGGTCAATAATCGTTTTTGTTTTTGTTTTTTTAGGTGACGTTCATTTATGTTTTATTGTTATTTTAGCCAAAACTATCAGATTCCGTCATGGTTAGAGGAAATGTAATACGACTTATTTTAGGTGTTGTGATAAAATTATTACTATTTTTCTTTGTAATAGTTTAGAGCATCTCCAACAGTTAATAACGTTTGGAGTATTTAAAAAAAGAAAAATATTAGTTTTTAAATAACAGAAAGAATCTGAACTAATCATAAAAACACATATATTAAATGAGTCTGTTAAAAAGTTTACAAACGTTCTTTCTTTAATTAATTTGAGAAACAGTGTCTCTTTCTTTCTTTAATTTTTATTATTATATTAATATTTTTTAGTAAAATACTAAAATAAAAACCTATCAATAGAGATGGTTTTAAGTACTCATATATATTACAAAAGACTGAAATACCCCTGACTTCTCACCCACCACATGCTGAAATGCGACCACGCACGTACATGGCCAAAGCCCAACCCCCAGGGGAGATGACAGACGAGAGAAAAGCTTTGGAGCTTTATAGAATTATTATTCATATTATAATAAAATTTATAAAGATTAAAATTGCATGCAAAATCAACTTCTTCTATGAAAATGTAGTTCACTCTTTGTCGTTGTTCCAACACTAGCCACTAGAAAAAAGTACAAATTTTAAATTAGGATTCATCATCTTATTATACATTACATAGGAGGTAAACGTGTGTATTAGTTTCATCGATGAGAAATACCAACGTTTCAAGAGGAAACACAAAAGAGAAAAAAAAAAAAACATTTGGGTATCTTCATTGCATTTGCACGTGAACAGCATAATTTCCTGATTGGTGTAAAAATTTTCAGAAATCACGTGACATTTATATATACATCATTTGGGCCATTATGAAAATTGACGAACTATAATAATCGAGGTTAACTGATTATATATATATATATGTGTATATATACTTTTTCCAAACACAGCATTGCTATTAACTACCACTTAATTTCAAACTCCAAATCTTTTTGTTTTGTTTTGACAGCTTACAAATCTCAATCAAATAACATTGAAACAAGATTCACTTACTTCTTTTGATAAAAAATGATACAATTACGAAACCTAATTTCATCCGCTGAAGAAATCTATTTTTATCAAATTACTATATTTTTTATTTATTTATAAACCACTAGTTATATTTGCATATGTGTTGACATTTTTGTGTTGTTTTACAGATTACTACAGTTGTAACTAGCTTTTGTAGTATATGCATTATCACACTATTGGGTATAGAAAAATAAAAAATGGTATAAGAGGAAATTTTTGCCATATACTATCAGTACATACATTTTTGAATCTAATATATATATATATAGAATTTTGTTTTTACTAAATGATAACATAAACTTAAGACAAAAGTAGTTTATATTATTAAATGTTTTTTGTGTATTTTGTGAAAAAAAGCTTTCGTCCAGTAAGAAAAAAAAGAAAAAAGCTTCCCCTCCGTCCATATATTTGCATCTTAGCTTCGTAAGCGGTGACGTATCACTCTCTCTCTCTCCCTCTATCTCTCAAATATTCCTCAATCTCTGTGAGCAAAAAGAGATACCCACTTTCTCTCAAAAGCCATATGAGTACATAAGATCCCTTTTAGTCTCTCGTGATTTTCCAAATCTCCAGGTAAAGCCTCTCTCTCTCTCTCTCTCTCTCTCTCTCTCTCTCTCTGTTCTTCTCCTTTTCCTTTTTCCTCTGTTTTAGCTCTCTCCGAGAAAGTAGGATAAACAAAAACTCCAGATACTTGAGTTTCCTCGATTTCATCATATTCGTGTTTCTTAAACGATCTCGTTTTAATGTAGAAGAGGCTTCTCTGTGATTGTGGATTCGTTTCAAGGATTTATATTTTCGCACGGAACTCTTTGAGCT